TACAACCTACAGGGGATCTCTACCAGCATAGACCATTTCTGTTTTGCATTATCGCTTTCTGGAGATTTCAAGCATGGATCAGGTATCTTACAACTACAACACCATCCATTCCCCTAAATCTTAATCTGTTTTTCCATCATTTCGATCATTCTTATTATCATTCTCTGTCACCATATTTCAATTTAAAAGATTGCCACCAGGATTCTCTGTTTCTGGCGGTAGATTAAAGTCCAGCACGGATGGATCATCGTAATTCGAAGTAGTACTCTGCTCATTGAGATTAAAACTAAAATTTATTTATTGAACAATAAACAAAAAAAGTCTGCCAAGTAAGGTGTAAGGTCAGTATATTTTATTATCATCCTCTGTCATAATGGTGAAATATCACCATATTTCAATTTAACAGATTGTCACCACCCCAGAATTCTCTGTTTCTGGTGGTAGGTTACAGTCCAGCACTCTGTATTATATGTATTACTACCATTTTAGACAGATGGATTGTAACTTGAAGTACTACTCTACTCATTGTGATTAAAACAAATTTATTTATTGAACAATACACTAATAAACGTATCTACCAAGTAAGGTCAGTATAGCTTCCTCACTGTTTTCATCGGGTAAAAATATCTATATTACAAAATCTAAATTTTTTTGTATGATAATAAAACCTCTGGAAGAAGCCATTTTCGTAAATTCAGTAATCCCTCAACATATATGGGCTTGATAACCACGAGTTTTTTTATCAGAAAATACTAAATACGAAAGAGGAGTTCCACATTTGCAGATTACATATTTGATGATTCACAATTAAAAAAAAAAAAAATTCCAGTGCATACTTAATGCATATCACTACTGTTAGTGCAAAAGGTTGTATGTAATAATTGAGTGTTTTACAGGAGAGCATAAAAACTAATTATTTCTTTATGATTTATTAGTATAATTTTATATTTTATTGCCCTCTGCTATTTTCCATAGTAGTAGACTACTTATATCAATCGCAGACTACATAATGTCGAAAATAGAATAAAAATTAAAAACTTTTACATACTATCATTGACACTAACAGTAGTGATATACACTTAATAGGTATGTTTTCACTCATAAAATCGATGGAACTAAAACTACATAGGAAAAATTCAACTTTTCATTTGTTTGGAGTTAACGAGACCAATGCTTTTCTTCAGTTAGAACAAAACTAATTAAGCTGGAATATAAAAATATGCGTGAAGTTCACACAATTTTGATATTTAAGGATAAAATTGAGAACATGACGAGCTGGTTGATTTCAATAGAAATAAACAAAATCATAAATAAGACCCATTACTTTCACTCAACTACATATGAGGGGCCAAATGAGTAGGGTAACGGGAGATCTAGAGAGGAAGATGCGTGCAGGAGTCTCCCCCACTCTTTGCAGAACAATCAAGCGTTAGTGCCCTACCCATAGCAAGCGAGTTTCCAGATCTCCTTATCCCTACCAACCCCCACTGTCACCTCCATGTGGTGGCCCCCGGGGAGTCCGATGGGACTCGTAGACGACAGAGGTGTGGTTCATCGCTTCTATCCATATATATGTGAGATAGTTGTGATGAACCTGTTAGGCACGCAAGCTAGGTACGGGAGCTGGAGCTGTGGCTGAATGGCAGAGGGTGGGTAAACATCTACTGTCTTTTATTGACCCGCTTGGGGAACCAGGCAACACCCCATTGGAAGTAGCTGGCTGCAGGTAGAGAGGCAGTACCAACAATCTATTTTCCCCCATACTCATGGGAACAAGATGAACGAAGCAAATAAACAAAAAAACACACAAACTCACCAAATTCTTTCTTCCGAGGAAGATATCTTCTTCCACAAAACTTAAATATCCTCACCTTTCAAGGGTCTTTTTAGACATCACCCTTGATGAGGCATGGATGGGAGACACCTTTAGATCTCTCACGGCTTAAGTCGAGGGACTTCAAGAAGATAAGGAGATTAGGAGGGTGACCACAGCCAAGGCTGGAGCTGTTGCCCCACCTCCACAATACCTTCAAGAAACAGGCCTATCAGCAGGCTCGACTGAATTAAATGTTCAGACAGGGGGTGGACTGGCTGTAAAAGAAGCAGCCCCTGCCATACTGAAACTATCGAAAACAATGATAAGGCGGCAAAGGCAATGAGAAGGCACACCAAAATATTAATATATATTCTGTATTTGTAATTTGTTCTTAAGGGACGCTAGTCACAGAATAATAAAATTATTTTCATTCATTCATTCAAACGAGGAATAGAGTTGCTGCCAAAATCATTCTAAAGGCACATCCAGAATCGGGACCTACAATAGAGCACTCGGCTAAGGAGGCATGGGTCATCCCAGACTCTGCAAACAAGTCCGAGGAGTTCAATGTGATGATCTCTGATTTGAGCATACAAGATAAAATCAAGGAACCTAGTGGTGGGTAGGAAGCCAAGGGTGCAAGGGCCAAACATGTCCCACGCGTCCAAGACCGAATTGCCCGCTGATACGTTGCTCCTAGGTGATACTTAATCCAAATGGAGCCACCCTCTGGGCCACCAGCTAAAGATGTACGGGATCTCTCGAGACTTTCTTACTAAATTTATACTTTTAAAATTTTTTTTAAGTTTGAAAAAAGTATTGAAAATCTACCGAATCAAGGCAATGACAATGCTTAAAATACTATTTCATTCTAACTGAGTGAAAGAAGAAGTTAAGAATATTTCATGGATATGTTCATAATCTTAAATATATTTACTGTAGTTTACCAACTCTAGATCTGATATTATATTTAAATATTTAGGTATCAATCGTCTGATTATTCCAAAAAATCATCATATAAACTTTTAGAAAATTAAATTAGTGAATAGTTTGATGAATTTTCTCTTTGTGGTATCTCAACAGCATCCACTTACAATTAGTGTGAACAACTTTTGACCTATCTGTGACAGGAAATGCAAATCTTGTTATTCCATTTTAGTAAACTTTACTGTGGAAAAAAATAGTTTAATAAATAATAATTGTACAATCCATAATCAATATATTCATACCATAATCAGCCGTTGATATAATAAATAGGATTTTTGTAATTTTAATGGTATTAATGATTTGTTAGCAGTAAGTTTTAAGCTTAAGCTAGGTTAAAAATGCACTTCAAAAATGTTATTATTATTAGCCCAACAATGGCAAAAAATAATTTCTATTCAAGTAGAACAGTAAGTGAAAGTTGTGTGTTGCGTGCACCGGATTTATTTTTTTTTAATATTAAATAATACCAGCACTAGCATTTGTGAAAACCATGCATGTATAAGCGCACTCGGGTTTCCTCGGAAGTTCTCGGCTACTCATTATCAACCTATTACCCTGAGCGAGTGTAACAGTTGGAGAACATCAATGAGGATAAAACCTACCTTATATTAAAACCACTTAATTGTACATTAGCATAATGAGTTAGATCAAAATTGTTAGAGCCATTTTTGAGGAAATCATAATAATGTGTTAAATCATTGATATAAAGTACCACTTCGGGTTTTCCGATTTTGACGAAAATGTTGCTGTAACATTCTAGGCATGTAAAAACCTTAAATAAGCAATTTCAGTTTCGTACAACATTTCGTTTTTGAGCTAGGCTGTTCACGTATACCCTGGTAGCTTTGCAGCTGTTAATTGTAGTCATTTTTGCAGAAAACAGGGTTACTTTAAGGTGACTAGATAGAGTATCAAATCATTTCTTTGCACAACTTGAGATGAAATTTAAAATTTTTCCTAATAAACCTCATCTTAAACAATATGTACATAAAGCTTATTAACAAAAACGTAACTCGCATAAAAAACACACAAATCTTAAATTTCCTACTTTTCTGCTCAAAATTTGGCAATTGTTTATATGAACTTTTTTGTAGATCTTGATGTCTACTATCAACCATTTAAATATTTCCCTCTACTTTCAGGACATCTTATGTACACATGCACCCACACACGCACGCACCCACTCACGCATGCACGCACCCGCATGCACGCACATACACAGACCATTTTGTTGGACTTGATTACTTGGAATCAGGAAACGTCAAAACACATATTTGAAAACTCAGATTAAAAAATGTTCGCGATTGCAATACTTATCCTTACTATATATTAGATGTATATTGGTAAGCGATAGTAAAAATAAATAAAATAGTTCCATAAATATTTACAGATGATATTCTAGCCTTTAGTTATAATTATTATAACAAATCTAGAAAAAAAAAATGAAGGAAATATGAACAAAAATTTAAAAGATGTAGTTTTAGGTATATTTAATATTCCTATAAAATGGATACAGTAAAGAAACAAATAATATAAACGTTAATATTCATAACAATAATAAAAATAACCATGATTGTATTGAGCAATGGTTAAATAAATAATAAATGCTTACAAAGCAATTAATTTCACATTGATATGACAATGGTTTAAATATCTCCATCAGTTAGCACTTTTTTAAAAAGTAAGTAGGCACAATAAATAGCTTCTTATCAGACTTGGTTTTTGATGAAAATTATTATATAAACAATTTCATGCTAAATCAACTACCAACCAATCAATATAAGTTCAGTGACTGTCTTTTCTTATAGTATCAAGCAACGAAATAACAAATTTACAACCAATATTTATTGTAAACCCAACCACTCGATTTAATAGAATCAAGTGACAACATAAACAAATGTTAACTTATAAATAATATAAACCCAATAAAAATATTATAATTATACTTATAGATTCAGTCAGCAAAAATACATACTGCCACACAAGATATGTATGTTTCACTTCATAAAAAGGCACATGAACCAAGTACTTAGCTAAAGAATAAGCTATACAAAGTCATGAATAAAAAACACATATAATAACTTCACTTAATTTTATAAAATAATTGACATATATCATATGTAATTTTCAAAGAATATCACCTACAGAGCTGAATACTATTCATTTGATTTTCTATTCTGACACTTGATGAAAATCACTATTTTCCCATTTTACCTATCTCATATAAATATGCAGCCAACAATTTTGTCTGAAAAAAAAATAAAACACATAATAAATATACTTATAACATCATAATTATTACTTAACTAGTCAGCCCGTGCAAATTATTTTCACAGACTATTGGTAAGTGACCAGATGGTAATATAACATTGAAATAAGTCAATATATTGTGATAGAGAGTATTTTTCTTCTTTTTTTTGGGATCATATAATGATTCTTAATAACTTAATAAACCAAAACATGTAAACAAATATATCTATATGGGATTACTTTAGATAGTAAGTTAAACTGGCTAAACCATATTGAAAAGATTAGTGGTAAGGCTAGACGCTGTTTATGGACGTTCAGAAGAGTTGTTGGCAAATCGTGAGAGCTGAAACCCAGCATGGCCTTATGGCTAAACAGATCTGCGATTAGACCATTAATCCTCTATGCAACTGTAGTGTGGTGACATACAACAGCTGCAGGCAGGCCTAGAATGCTGCTTGGCAAGCTTCAAAGGCATGCAAGTCTTATGACGGTGGGAGCTATGAGCACTACTCCCACTACTGCAATACAGGTCCTTTTGAATCTGACACCATTGCATTTAGAGGTGGAAGCACATGCTCTCAGAACTGCCTATAGATTGGATAAACTGGGAACAAGATCAAAATTCCTGACGTTTCAGGGCCATGGGATCGTTTTTGATAGGATTAATAGCAATGAGGTACTTGCGATGAACTCTGACCTTCAAGTTGATAATTATAAAGATATACTATATAATTTGAACATAAGCAGGAGTAACTCACATAGACCATGTAAAGGAGTTAACTGTTATACCGACGGCTCCTTAATGGAGCAAGGATCAGGGGCTAGCATCTGGAGAACGGATAGACCTAATGAGGGAATATTCATATCTCTAGGTAGATATAGGCCCGTCTTTCAAGCCGAAGTTTTAGCCATCGATTTCTGTGCCCAATAACTTATTAAGTAGGGCACTATGAATAGATTGATAACAATATATATGGATGGTCAAGCGGCAAGTGGGGCCCTGAATAGTTATGCAAGTCGCTGAAAACTGATGGATGAATGTAAACACAATCTTAACCTTCTTTGTAGTACTAACAAGGTGAGAGCAGAATAGGTACCTGGGCACTCAGACATTCCAGGAAATGAGAAAGCCTGTACTGTACAGCACAAGTGCCGGTTGCAGAAGAGCCTATTTGTGGGATAAGCTTTGGCTTAGCCATAAGGCATATTAAAGCGATCGTGAGCAATAAATTTATGCTACACTGGGTACAGACTAGGAAACAAATTCATTTTAAGTTATTCCTAGTAGGGCTCTGTCACAAGAGAAGTAATTCAATTCTTCTAATGGACAGGAATACCATTAGGCGGGTGACAGGACTGTACACTGGTTACTGTCAATTAAATAAGCACCTTTACAATTTGGATATAAATGAGATCTCCACCTGCAAGCTATGTGGCCTGGAGGATCAAACGGCCTATCACAATATTTTTAGATGTGATAATTTGGCTAGACTGCTATACTTTCACTTTGGATGTGATCATATCACTGACCCTAAGCACTGCGAACTGATTGATCCTATTAGTATCAATAGGTTCGCAAAGGCATCTGGCCTGTTTTAACTGAGTCTAGGATGACGCACAATAGGCCTTTTTGAGGCTGCATCCCTTATGTCAGAGCAGGAAAAAAAAAAAAAAAAAAAAAAAAAAATATATATATATATATATATATATATATATATATATATATATATATATATATATATGTAAAGGCTTTATCTTATGATTTTTTTTTGTTCTGTAGGAAATTTATAAACTTTTATAAATGGATCATAGGTATAATCCACATTAATTTTCTTTTTTCTTTTTTTTTCTTTTACATCTTTTTGGGAAAATATGCTTCTTTTTTGGTGCTGAGGAGATATCTTCAAAATGATTACTCAATAATTAAATTAAATTAAGTATTAATGAATATATAGAACAATAACAAAAAAAACATCTTTGAGCAATAATGTATAAATATATTATATATTATTATTATCAGACTAATAGTGGAGGTATAACAAAAAATTATCTTCCCCTTCATTGCTGAAAAATAAGCCCATCTCCTTTGAAAAAGTCATGACCAAAAAAAAACTTAATTTGCGCAAGACTCAAAACCATAAAATTTATGTTGGATTATAAACATGATAATTAGAAATGTTTCTAAATTTCCTCCACATTAAAAAAAAAATATCACATATTTTTATGTTTTTTTTAATTTTTTAGGGAGGCAAATTTCGACGAGATTATGAATTTTCGGACCAAGGGACAAAGGAAAAACATGGAACAGTCTACAGCAAGTGTAATTGTATATCATCTACAATTTTTCTAATTCTACCTTAGCTTGCTCTGTTTTTAAGAAAAGGTGAGCAATAAAATGTCTTGGTTGGAGAGGGGAGGATAAATTCTTGCGCCATAGATCTTGGGAGGAGGGGTGGGCATCCCTGCAGCTGTTAATTACTCTGCTATACCGGCCACCTAATATATATATAAATAAAAAAAAATCAACATACCCCTTGTATATAATTTCTACGATCAAGTTTCTCATTTTGAGAATGTGCACCATCATCACAAGCACCAATTGGTATCAGGATAACACTTTTATCAGTAACCTCCTATAAAAAAAAATTGTATCAAATGATTTATTAGGCAATAAAAATAATTCAACCTATATATATCGAGTATAGAAGATTTCTTAAAAATTAAAAATTCAATTTTCATCCTTTTCACACTAAAATCAATAACAATAATTGTTAAGGTTAAAGAAGTAGCAATGGCAATCCCGTAAGTGTAAGATATTAAACTTTGGTGCTGATTCATTAATTTTATTAAAGTTTAAAGATTAAATCATTTCCGGTCCTTCTCATTCCAAAACTTTCAAATGTTATAATAACAAAATCCATCTTAATGTTTCATTATTGCTGTGGATTGATGGTTGAACTGTATTGAATAATTGAAGAGAAGGATGATTGGGGTGATCAGTCAAAATAAAAATAGTAAAAATAGATAATTATATTTATTTTTATATTTGCTGACATTTCGGCACAAAGTTCAGGCCTTCATCAGGACTAAGAAAAAAACCAGATAACAATAGGTATGAGAAACTATAAACATTGAATAATGAATAATTAAAATTAAAAAGATAAAAGGTACAGACTAAAACATGTAGGTAGAATAAACTCACAGTAAAATAAAGTAGATAGAGTGAACATTAAAGTAAAATAAAGTAGGTAGAATAATAACAGTAACAGAGAACTAAGAAATAAATAATAACGGCAACAAAGTACGGACTAATGAAATAAACATAATCAAAATAAGGTAACATAAGAAATAAAAATGGTAATCTTAGAATAAAATGTAAAAATGAGAAAAGGAATATTAAAGGAGATTAAAGAAAACGAAAAAGAATTAAAATAAAAGTGGTAGTATACTTTAATATAGTATATATTAAGGATAATATAGTATAATAATATAATACAGAATTAATTAAGAAGATAGTATAATGCAAAGATAATAAATGTTGAGTAATAACGGAGAATACCTGATCTACGTGAAACTTGAGATTAAAGAAAACGAAAAATTAATTTCTTTAATGAGATTAAAGAAAACGAAAACTGAAAGTTAAACGGAAATGAGTAAGTCTTTTATAAAGCAATTAAGGAGATGGTATAATGTAGAGGTAAGAAACATTAAATAATAATGAAATATTAATGATCTATGTGAAACGCGTGATGAAAGAAAACAAAAAAGAATTAAAATTAAAGAGGAAGTATAATGTAATATAGTAGAAAATAAGAATAAATTTAGAATAATAATATAATATAGAATAAATTAAGGAGATAGCATAATGCAGAGATAATAAATATTACGTAATAATGGAGTACAACTGGTCTACAAGAAACTTGAGATAAAGAAAACGAAAAGGATTTTATTAAATAAGATTAAAGAAAACAAAAATGATTTAAATTAAAGAGAAATGAGGAAATTGTCAGCGAAAAGGAAAAAGAGGCTGCTATGGATGTTTTAATAAATTCAGAATTTGGGAATAAGCTAAGGATGAGTTTTGTTTGTCTGTTTTTAGATTCAGAGATAAGTCATTTGTCATGGTTAGGAACGGAGGCAAGGATGGAAGTTTTGTCGAAATCAAATGTATGGTTTAGAGAGAAAGAATGTTTGGATAATTTGGAGGCGGTAAAATTACAAGAGGATACAGAATATTTATGTTGGGTGATGGGTCTTTTAGAAGATTTTTGGTTTCACCAATATAAGATGAAAAGCAATTAGGGGTAGAACACGGAATACGGTAAACGATATGAGAACAGTGTGAAAGAGGAACAGGATCTTTTAGGGATGTGAATAAATTAGAAAGTGTGTTGTGAGGGTTGAAGGCATCGTAAGTTAGGGTTGGTAGATAGTAAAGCCTATTCATGTTAATGTTTCATTATACTTTTAATGTATTTAAATAAACAGAAGTTTTCTTTCATACTTTTTTGGTTGCCTTTCAGGAAAAGGTTCTCTTATAAACTAATTGAAACAGGTAGAGGTTTTAAAATATCATATCTTGATGATGGATTGAGATATGATTGTGTTGCTAGTGGCACTAACATTTACTCCGAAGATACCCTGTATAGAGATTCGACTGTAATTCCATTTTTTTCTAATATTTCATTTTATTAATGAATGAGATCTATTTTGATATTCTCATGATCAAAATAAAGAATTTCAATTTTTAAAAAGTTCTTAACAATTCAATTAATAAAACAAAAACTAAAGAAACTTATACAAAAATCTATATACCATAAGAAAAAGAATCATTAACGTCCATAAGGTTCATTACAAACTACTCCAATCCATTTGTATTGAAGAGACTACAAATACTTCTGCAATGAAGATTTGTTTTTGAAGCTCTGCATTTTGACTAACCACTAAAGAATTAAAAAAGGAAATTTTCATTGCAGGAGTATTAGGGATTCTAAAAAAAAAAGAGCAAAAATATTTTTAAAAATTACTTTGTTGGGCTTAGAAACCTTTAAACCTAATATAAAGCAATTCAATTAATCTTTACAGCTTAATATTGCAAAGATATGGATATTATGGTAAAGTATAAATAGTTGCAGGCTAATCCTTATATAATGGACATTTAAAGACTTATCCAGCATCTTGGTGTGATTAAAAAAGTGGATATAATATACATGGGAAATTACTAATAGAATTTTAGATGGGCAGTAATGTGAAAGAACTTGAAGATGGCAGAGGTAAAAAGACTCTTTGTCAGTTGTTATTATATATGTGGAGAGAAGGACCCACAACCTATTGCAGTATAATTAGACTTCATTTTACATTCAACAGTAAATAAAAAACCATGGACTAGCACTTCAGCACTGCTCAAAGTTAAAACTTCTAAGTAAGAAAAGTTTTGGTGCGCATTTTGAGTGGCTAAATTACTCATCCTGATAGATTTTCATAAAAAGCAGTAGTAAATAATGAATATTACAGCGGAAACTCTCTGTAAACTTGCTCATTGCATAAAAAATATGATGCTAACCCATTAAGGACTGTGAATTTGCTCCATGAAAATCAAGAAATTTCAATGTTTCACTAGATCAGTGAAAAATTGGAGAGTAAATTTCAATGTTTCACCAGATCAGTGAAAAATTGGTGAGTATCTTTTTGGACAAACGCAATTCTCCAAATATTTTCATTTTGATTGGGATACTTGAGAAACACTGAAAGGTCAATAATTAAATTCTTCTAGCACAATGGGTTCGCAAATAGCCTTATTTTATTATATTTACTATTATAATTATTTATTATACACCCATTTAACTACCCATTTTATAGTATTTATAAATCCAACAATGTAGAAAAAAGACAGCTTACAAAAGAAATAATAAAGATATATTATTAAAATGATAAATTCTTCAGAAATAAAAAAAAATATTTATGGAAAAATAAAGTAGATAAACCAAAATTTGAACCATAAATATTTAATGTATATAAACATTCTGAATTATTGTAGTAGAGGTTTCAAAACCAAAGATTATATATTTAAAATAAATAATAATATATATAATAAATAAAATAATTAAATAAATAAGATAAAGGCATGACATGACCTAAGTAAATTTTTCTATAATTTCAAAAAATTAAATTTTACCTGAAAAGTAAGAGTGATAGGTATAGAACCTCCTTCACGGGTCATATCTGGTTCAGTATTATATACTCTCTTAGTGGCTCTAATTGCAGCTTCGTAATTAGAATTTCTGGGGTCGGTAACCCACGCTTTAGCCCCATGGACCATTGAAACCTAGTAATTTCAATGCATTATTATCATTTCTGTATTTTTATTTTGCTAAATTCAATAGGTAATTTAATATATTTACTTTGAATTTGTTGCTACTTCCCCTTTTGGCCCACTCCTTATTCAAATAATCTACAACAGCCTTCTCTACAGCTATAGGATCTTGATTTGGTACAATTCTTATTGAAAATTTTCCAATAACTTTCCTAGGTATAACTGTTTTGGTTCCAGGATCTGAGAAACATCCTTCCATGCCATGAACACTAAGAGAAGGAAATCTCCAACGACTCATTAATAACTTAGTCTGTAAATAAATTTAGTCAAAATGTTTTTACAGACTATATGATTAGATTATGAAATTATTTTATATACTAATGGTAATTATATATAAGTTAAAACACATTAATAACCTTATCTTCTTTATGTAAAAGGCTGGGTGAACCAAGTTCTGTTTTATAATCGAGAACACTGAAATCAATTTCTTGGTACTGACGTCGTTCATCATCAGTCACTGGAAGAACATCATTATTAATGTTAGGAATAAGTATTGTACCATCTTTGTCAACTAATCTGCTTAATAAATAAACCATATCAGACATAGCTTCATTTCTAAAAAAAAAATAAATAAAATAAAATGAAATTTATAGATCTATAATTATAAAATCACTAAACAATTAATAATATATATTTTCATCTGTTTGATGTATAAGATATTTGTAAGCTTGTGAAAAAGTAACATATTTTCAAATATAATTTTAATTGTGAGGTAAAGAAAGGAAGAAAGAAATTAACAAAAAACAAATAAGGTGCGGTCGAATTAATATTAAATCAAACAAGTATAATTATCTTATTTTTGCCGACGTTTCGACCCACTTTGCAGGTCTTCATCAGGGCTACAAAGATACAAAACATGGTGAAAATAAATGAATATAAGTAGATATAAAATAAGAATAAGTTGCCTGATACAGAAATAAAAAGATATCAGAGATATAGTGGGTGACAATGTAGTTAAAATACCAAGTATTAGATGTAGAAGATACAAACAAAAGTAACATATTTTATATAGTGGGTAACATATTTTATAAAGGGTAACATATTTTATAAAGTGGGTCGAAACGTCGGCAAAAATTAAATAATTATACTTGTTTAATTTAATATTAATGTGACCGCACCCCTCCCGATTAACTCCTTTTTATATTTTATAGTGAGTGGTCATATTTTATAGTGGGTAACATATTTTATAAAGTGGGTCGAAACATCGGCAAAAATTAAATAATTATACTTGTTTAATTTAATAATAATTTGACCGCACCCCCCGATCAACTCCTTTTCATATTATTTCAATGGTCAACCATCTCTACATCATTACAAATTGAAGATAGTTGGAGGTGTTGCCAAAAAAAGAAATACATAGTAAATATATCTACTTCAGTGTGTGCTGACATTTCATCCTGTGTTGTAGACCTTTGTAATAATCATACCAAGATATAAACATATAGAAATGTAGTATAAATAAAAAAAATAGTAGGAAATATTTAAAAAATATGAAGTAATTAAACAGTACACACAGAAATATATTTAAAAAGTTTACCCATGGTGTAATTTTTACTATATTGTATTTATAATATAAAACAATGGGAAAATATAAAGATCAAAAAATAAATATTTATTAATCAGTTAAATAATTTATTTATATTCTTTCCTTATATTATGTTATGATATCACTATTATTACCATGTTTCCATTATTTGTTGTTTCACTTCATACATTTTTGCATTTTTGCTCATGTAACTTATATATTTATTTTCACTAATGTTTTTAATGTAATTTATATCCATTCCATTGTATTTTTCATATTTTATTTTTGTTTTGTTTACCTCATCATATATATAACAAAAAATATCTATTCCTATATACATTTATATATATATATATATACCAACAGACATTTTTGCTAGACCTGATTTTTTATACTCAGGGTGTCTTGAAACATGCATTTCTATTTAAATCATGGATTAAAAATTTTTCACAATCACAATACTTTTCCTTTATATGTATATATATATATATATATATATATATATATATATATATATATAATGGATTAAAATTTTTTCACAATCACAATACTTTTCCTTTATATGTATATATATATATATATATATATATATATATATATATATATATATATATATATATATTTATATATATGATGAGGTAAACAAAACGTAGAAATGCATGTTGAAACATAGAAATGCATGTTTCAAGACACCCTGAGTACAAGTTTCTATACAAAGGTTTATATTCCATTATAATAATTCCATACCAAATAATCCAGAAAAAGTTCAATTTGTAATCCACCCCTCCTCAGATCTTAATGAAAATTTGTAAATATAAAAATAAATGTACATGTAATTAAAAATACCAAATTTTAGCCAATTCTAATTAGTTTCAGAATGATGGGCTTTTAAACTTTTGAAGTTGGGAAGACGTTTTGGGCTCAAAACCAGCATGTACCTGTTTGGTTTTCCTTTGTAAAACCAATATTTATTGACCAAGAGCTTTCAAAATGTATTCATTTGTCATAAATGTAATACAGAATCTGCTGATATCATAAGTTTTAGTATCATAATTTTTCTTCATGTATAAAAAAATGTTTGAACATAAAATTTCAAAATAGCAATACAAATATCTAAAACTACCTCTAACTAAAATCCCTCTACAAATATTCAATACAACCATATATTAATGAAAACAGCTCAAAATTCTCTACCAAATGCAAAAATAATATTATTATGATTTTGAATTTTAAGAGTTTTATTACACTTTAAATCCAATACAGTAAATTTTAATTTATCAGTTACAAATACAAGTGATAATAGCTTAAATCTCTCTCCAAATATCTTAGTATAACCATGTATCTCTGAAAAGAGCCATGACATTTTTGATCAGATTATGAAATAATATTTGTGGAATTTTGAGTTTTAAGAGACTTATCATCGTACAAATCAAATAAGTTTTTGCGTAATGCGGAAATGGTGTGCTAATCAATATCAAAAAATACCTTTATCTAAAATCTTTCTCCAAATACCCCATCATACAACCATATATTATTGAAAAAAGAATGAAATTATCATACAAAAAATAATATTAAATAATATAACATTAAAATTTTATTTATCAATTGTATATACAAGCAAAAATTCTTCTTATTCTTATATTATAATTGCGGACAACTATCTCTACACCGTTATAAAATCAAAGATATTAAATGTACCTGCAGTTAGTCCACAAATTTTTGTGGAAAAGATACTGTAACAGCCCAGAAATATATTTAATTTAAATATGTAATTTCAATGTTCTACGTCATTTTGTTTTTCAGCTATGGTGTTTACATGTAAACCAACAGACATTTTTGCTAGACCTGATTGTTTGTACTCAGGGTGTCTTGAAACATGCATTTCTATTTAAATCATGGATTAAAAATTTTTCACAATCACAATACTTTTCCTTTATATATATATATATATATATATATATATATATATATATATATATATCTTTTTTTTTTTTTTCAAATAGTTTACATTCATATATTATATGTTTAAAATTTTGAACCTGTCCGTCTTCATAGCATAAGTCTGTTTGTATAATGTTGAATCTTTTAAGATATTGTTTTGTATTCCCATGTTCCGTAAGTACTTGCGTAAGTTTGTAGTCATTACTGTGAATGTGTCTGTAATTGTGAATTGAAATGTGTGGTATAAATCTGTGTAAGCTTGGTGACTTAGCTGAGATCACCCATATGTGATCCCATCTTTTGATGAAATCCAACTTTAAATTCATCTTAATATACAATAAAGGAGCTTGATGATACGATATATATATATATATATATATATATATATAAAGGAAAAGTATTGTGATTGTGAAAAATTTTTAATCCATGATTTAAATAGAAATGCATGTTTCAAGACACCCTGAGTACAAACAATCAGGTCTAGCAAAAATGTCTGTTGGTTTACATGTAAACACCATAGCTGAAAAACAAAATGACGTAGAACATTGAAATTACATATTTAAATTAAATATATTTCTGGGCTGTTACAGTATCTTTTCCACAAAAATTTGTGGACTAACTGCAGGTACATTTAATATCTTTGATTTTATAACGGTGTAGAGATAGTTGTCCGCAATTATAATATAAGAATAAGAAGAATTTTTGCTTGTATATACAATTGATAAATAAAATTTTAATGTTATATTATTTAATATTATTTTTTGTATGATAATTTCATTCTTTTTTCAATAATATATGGTTGTATGATGGGGTATTTGGAGAAAGATTTTAGATAAAGGTATTTTTTGATATTGATTAGCACACCATTTCCGCATTACGCAAAAACTTATTTGATTTGTACGATGATAAATCTCTTAAAACTCAAAATTCCACAAATATTATTTCATAATCTGATCAAAAATGTCATGGCTCTTTTCAGAGATACATGGTTATACTAAGATATTTGGAGAGAGATTTAAGCTATTATCACTTGTATTTGTAACTGATAAATTAAAATTTACTGTATTGGATTTAAAGTGTAATAAAACTCTTAAAATTCAAAATCATAATAATATTATTTTTGCATTTGGTAGAGAATTTTGAGCTGTTTTCATTAATATATGGTTGTATTGAATATTTGTAGAGAGATTTTAGTTAGAGGTAGTTTTAGATATTTGTATTGCTATTTTGAAATTTTATGTTCAAACATTTTTTTATACATGAAGAAAAATTATGATACTAAAACTTATGATATCAGCAGATTCTGTATTACATTTATGACAAATGAATACATTTTGAAAGCTCTTGGTCAATAAATATTGGTTTTACAAATATTTTGGTTTTACAAATATGGAAAACCAAACAGGTACATGCTGGTTTTGAGCCCAAAACGTCTTCCCAACTTCAAAAGTTTAAAAGCCCATCATTCTGAAACTAATTAGAATTGGCTAAAATTTGGTATTTTTAATTACATGTACATTTATTTAATATTTACAAATTTTCATTAAGATCTGAGGAGGGGTGGATTACAAATTGAACTTTTTCTGGATTATTTGGCATGGAATTATTATAATGGAATATAAACCTTTGCATAGAAACTGAGATTTATATGAAAATATATTTTTTATTTTTATTTTTTGCTTGTTAAACCAAAAATATATAGCCCACAAAATTGTCATAGTTTATATTAATTGTTATGGTGGAGATATAATTGACTATATATCATTTAGAAGAAGATGATTAGGGATGCAATGAAAGGTGAAAGTACACAAGAAAATTTTATTTTCTTTGTGACAACATCTCAGTCCAAGTTTTAGCCCCTAATAAGGTCTATTTGTGTAAACTCTCCAAAACCAGTACCTTTTATGAAGACTTCAGACAAGCAGGATTGTCTCATAGTTATCTGAAAATTCGAAAAGGTTGGAAGGACAAGGTTAACAAATGAAATTTTGACATTTAAAACTCATTTTTTTTCATTTAAAATTCATTTTTCATTTTAAATAAAATTTCATGTCATTTAATCAAATTAATAACAGGGCTCGAAGATGGATAAAGTTTGATAGTTTATTAGGATATTACTTTTGAATACAAAATTGTTGCTGTAGATAGAGAAAACAAATAAATAAATAACAGTAACCATAAAAAATTAAACTGATGATACAATTATCTTCTTTTCAATTAAGAATACAGTCAACCAAGAAAACATAATTTAACTATTCAGATTATGGAAATTTAATATTAAAATTAACTTTTAAGGGAGCGAGATAGCTCAGGGAGTAGGCACGGTGCTCTTACTCTCAAGGTACAGCTATGACAAATAGTTTCATTAGCCATGGGTCAATCTTGGGGTCGGAAGACTCTCCTAGGGGCACACTCAGCCTTTATAAAGTGGGCAACATTAATTAATTAATTGATTAAGGGAAAAACCTGACAGCTGAGTACAATCTCTGCCCAATCACCTGTACAACTGCCATGTTTGAAACAGTACTTTCTTACTAAGTACTGAACTAGACCCTTCATGGGTTGTAGTAGTACAGGTGTTTTTTAAGTTACAACTTTATTTCCCTAATTTTGTGGAAAATGGATTATTTAGTCTTATAAAAATGTAATTGGACTATTAAGAAATATTTAGTTCATTTACAATTATGTTAAGAAAATATTTCTTCAAACTGTATGCTATCATTGATCAATCATCAGAGTTGTTGAAAATATAGTGTTGTGTAATACAGAAAAGTTTTGAAGTGGTTTTCAATAGGCATGTACCACTTATTGTTATCATGTGACATTTCTAAGGACATAAATACATCAAACAGTTCTTGATCTTCATTATGGATAACAATTGAACCTTTCACCACTCTTTGTTAGTTTAATACTGTCAGATTTTAATTAAAAAATTAAAATCTAAATGAGATAAAACTCTTTATTTGTTTCAGTTTAAACATTTCAAATGTACTTTTAAAGTTTAATCAACTCTAAACATTCAAAATAGATACTTGTATTTATTACTTTATTAAAAGATTTTTTATTTGATTTGGATGAAACTTTTTTCAATTTCACAGCAAGCTAATTTAGACCAATCAGTTTTTAAATAAAATACATTTTTTATTAATAATTTAATTTAGGCCATTTCATTAAACAATGACCTATAATAGCTGAGCTGTTAAGCACTGTAAAATAAGGATACGTCTAATCTACAATTAATTTCAAATGATGACAGAATCTTTGATATATTTCAATGTTGGTCTATTTGTGAGGCTGTAGCAACTTAAAAATCATTTATTTTATATCTGCCTCAGTCATATTTATTTTTCAATTAATAGCTATGAAAGATAAAGACTTCTAATAGAGAAAAATGTGGATTATTTAAAAAAAAAAAAATTATCAAGCAATTTTTAACAATTCAACATCTCCATTTCTAAACCAAAATTGATAAACCAAAATTTGATAGTTATACCAAAGCTTTGCTGACGATTGGAAAAAAAATGATTTTTTTTTTTTAATTTACCTTTATTAAACAAAAAAATTGTGCTGTTGGATTTATTGGACACCTTAAGAAAGGAATCAATACTTATGTTTATTTCCAAAAAAAAAAAAAAAAAAAAAAAAAATTAGGATTGACTTAAGAAATAAATGACTTATATATATGTGAATGAAAGAATAGTAGTGGGACCTATTGGTAGAAAAAAAAAATACAAGTATAGCTAAATAAATCAATGTACTAATTCAGATCACATTTATATAATTAAAAAAAAAGACTAGTTTAACTTGATTATCAAAATGTTAGATACATAAAAATAAACTTACATGGTTCCTCCATACACTCCACTATGCAGATCTTTACAAGCACATGTAACTTCTATAAAAAAGTAGCATAATCCTCTTAACCCATAGGTCAAACAAGGTTTGTCTTTTCCAAGCCAATAATTATCAGATATGCACACATAATCGACATTTTGAAAAAATGATTCTTTCCTTTGTTTTAACAGATCTTCAAGCCCTTCACTTCCACTCTCTTCCATTGCTTCAAAAACAAACTTTAAAACAAAAAAATAAGTAAGTGTACATAATTACGCATAGTATAATATAAAACTTCTATTTTAAGAATAAAATACCTTTAAATTGACAGGAATTGGCAATTCCTGTTTTTGATAAGCTTGGATAGCATTTAACCAGCAGAGGACTGGGCCTTTGTCATCGGATGCACCTCTACCATATAATTTACCATCTATCTCAGTTAGATTAAAAGGTTCTGTATGCCAACCATCTTCTTGAGCTGCAGGTTGAACATCTATATGTCCATAAATACATACAGTAGGTTTAGATGGATCATTTCCAAGCGACCCAAGAATGACAGGAGGCAAACGTAGTGGTCTTCCGTCAGGTAAAGTCTATGTAGTGAATCATTGAGAATTAGGCAAAAGCTTAAATTGGATTAAAAAGCTACAGATTCAATTTACCTGTGTTCCCACATCACATTCCTCTGCTTCAACACCAAGTGCCTTTAGCTTACAATGTAGCCATTTCACCATAGTAATACAATCATCTCTTAAATGAGGAGAACAAGATACGGATTTTATTGCAACAGCTTCCTTTAATAGTTCAATATAATTTAGCACATGGTCATCTACATACCTAGAAATAAATTAATTAATAGGTTAAATTTAATATTTAAAAAATTAAGTCTCGACAACTTACTTGAAAATAAGACTTAAAGTTCTTGATTCTGGGAGTGCCATGGCTCTAAAAGTGAATCTTGTCAATGCCAGATTCTACTAATATTAGCTTTCCTTTAGATATCTTTCTTCTAAGAAAATAAATAACACCAACAGTAGATAAGATAAAAGATGCTTAATCAATTGGTTGAGTTGTCAAGGAACTGAAGTAGTCAGAAATTTTGATCGACAAATCGAGCTGAAACGGGCTAGTTCATTATATTTTACAATTTTCACAGGTAACAGTCAAATTTGTATTATATAGGAGCAACTAGGTTCAAAAATTATTATTTTTTTAAATTCAAAATAGCAACCTACAAGTAATGAAACGTTCATTCACTAACTACTGCCTCTATAATAAAGGTACATTTAGAATATTTAAGTTCGTACGCTGGTCGTTCTGGTTTGTTTATAGGTATTGTCATTAAGAAGTTATAAATTTAACAAAAAGGCTCACTAAATTATTACGTACTAAAAATAAACAAAGTAGTGTTTTGCCTACTAAAAATATATACTCTGGATTAGTTTTACTTCCGGCGATTCAAAACAACTAAACACAGTCGGAGTATCTAGTGTTTACCGATTAATGATGTCGACGTTAGGACAGTGAACGCTAGGCTGATGGATGGTAAGAGTAATACTCGTTATTATACGTCAATGTCATCAGAAATTTTGAAGATTTTTGTTGTTTATGGGTATGATTAGGAATGTGATGGCCAACTCAATGGCGGTAACTCAAGCTTTAATCTGAAAATTTTGTTGGAAAATATTTTTTTTTCAAACATTGAAGATTTTTCTAAAATTTTAGTTTGAATTGACAGCAGTATCAAAAGAGAACCAAATTCTCATTGTTTATTTAAGTTTTTGTATCTTTCATTTTTGATTTAACCTTAATTATATAGGTTATGTATTTCTATATGTGACTCTTATAGCTGTCAAAGTATTGTTTATTAATTGATTCTATTTACCAATTGCATAGTGAAGTTTATCAATAATCTTAACTTCTTTTAGATATACAATCATGGTGGGAAGTTCCGAGTATTGCTCACTTTTGTTCCTTGTTTCGTGTAGCATTTAATCTTTTGGATTTTGATATTGAGGTAAGTATTTGCTTATTTACTTTTTCTTTTTTTTGTTGCTTTATGAACTTTCTTTTCTAGTTTAATACTTCTTTTTACTTTAGTTTCAACCTTGTTGATTGTGGTTGTTGTTTCAATAGCATCTTCTTATAGTGATAACGATTGACAACATTATAAACTCTTATATTAAACTTAATAATATCTGTCATTCCATATCTTTTGGTATGTAGATGTGCTATTGTTTAGCGTATTTATTGTTTTTTGTTATACGCAGTTATGTTCTTAAAATATAGTTAGAAAAAGAGCTGTAATCAATCTTATGCTGATAAACAATGATGGCTATTTGTTTACTGTTTTAAATTAGTTTTGATCATTACTGTGATAGTATGTGCAGTGTTCAAATGTATAGCTAACGCTATTTTATTTTACATGGTTAAATTTTGTTTTAGGAATTGGAAGAGGCCTTGCTTACCGATGGCACTGAGTTTAATGGGAATTCCTTATTGCAAGATCTCATTGTCCGTCTTTTATGTGGTTGTCTTGGTCATAATGGAATATCTACATTTAACTATCAAATGTTTTTACGAAGACTTTTTCGTACTAAGTGTAAGGTAAGTGTAGAATGTATATTTATGGTTGAAAAATATGTTTTAAATTGTGGTTTTAATAAAGTAATTGTAATTTGGTTTTATCTAGGAGCAAGGCAGAGAAAATCCATTCAATACAGATATAGATTTTCAGTTTTTACCTTTGCGTACAAAAGTTGAGATTCTTCATGCCCTTTGTGACTTCAGATTGGATGCAGATGATGTCATTGATGTACTTAAGGTAGTTTTTAACTTATTTTATGTATATTACAATGTTATTTGTAACATTTTAATCAAGTTATATTTTGTTTTTAGAATTTAGATTCAGACAGTCTTCGTGTACATCCCCTTGGTCATGATGAAAACAGGTCAGCCTATTGGTACTTTTATGGAACAAGATTATATAAAGAAGAATATCCTAAGGTAGGTTCTAGTAATTTTGTGTTATTATCATGGGAAGTTCTCTTTTATTATTGCCTTACACATCGTTAGTGACATTTTGTTTCAATGAGTGATTACTTACCTTTTGAGTTTTTTTTTTTTTTATAGTTGAACATTTTTAAACAATTTGTTTTTATTAGTATGTTTCATTGTATCGTGGTTTAGGACTTTTCATTCAATTTGGTATTTTGTCTTGAGTTAAGCTGGTTATTTTTATTTCTATAATATTTAAATATCTAATTTGGTATCAATGATATCCCTAATTTTTTAAACTAAATTTTAATGAAGATATAAATTTTAATTATATGAAGATCAAATTCTATTTATTAATTAAAAAATAGAATTAATTTCTCAGCTGTTTCCTTAAATTTCTTTCAATATCATTTTAATATTGTATTGGTGTTATTGCATACTAGGATACCCCCTAAGCACCCTTTTTCCTAATTAATGCATCTGATGTATAAGCAATATCAATATCAGCGATACATGTATATTCACTCGTACATTCGTATAATATTATTAAGATAGTGTATTCATCACCTACAATTGATGAAGCTTCATTCTTTACCTCAACTGTTAAAATAATAATTTAATTAAGAAGTGATTAGTTTATCTTACTGAAAAATGTCCCTTCATTTTAATGTTTAAGCAGTAAGACACAGCTGTTTCTGAACTGATACTATTCTCTTTTACTTGCTTAAGACCTATTTATTTGGTGCAGATGAGCTTAGTTTCTAGTTTGCTCATTTCCTATGATTATTTAAATCTTATAGAAGCCATACGTGGATATTTTTTTTTTTTTTAAGTTTCATTTATTCACCCACACTTGTCAAAAGCAATGACAATTAGCAGGTCTGTTGTCGGTAAGTGTACAGGTAGTGGCTTGATCGGCGTCCTGGAAAGAAGTGCCTAGCGTCATCCCTTCCTGTCTTGATTTTAACATATTTTTAAGCTGGGAAATCCCTCATCCAGCTCCTTTTGAGCCTCTTAATGTGTGTTTTAAATGTAGCCATACTTTGTATAAGTGTGTTAGTATGTCCATGTAAGTTATTGTGAAATCGCTTGTAGTGTGTCCGTATGTGATCGTTAATTGTTGCCATTTGAAGGTCTTCATGTAATTTAATGTTTGTGACGTACCACAACTTTATTAGTAATATCGAAAATTTTCTTTCGATGTGCCCAAAGAATCATAAGCTATTCTCTATTTTTTTTCTTTTCCCCCTTACCTTGCCTTTTCATCTAGGTTTTACCCATATCAGGGCAGAGGAATAATACCAGAATTAATTGTCTCAGGCACCAGGATTCGAACTCGTAAACTTCAGGTTAATGCATCTGATGTATAAGCAATATCAGCGATACATGTATATTCACTCGTACAGGTCATTTTGATATTCCACGTGTGTTTTGAAATGCGTTACCCTCCTATTTTATTTTAAAAAGCTATACATGTGCCATTTGATAAGTATCTAATGGCAATCTTTGGACCTCAAATGTTTTCGGCAAGAATTATGGTTTATTATTTTAGGACAACAACGAATAGGGAACTATCCCAAACTATGTCCTTTGGAAGCTATACCAGGTCCTAATGTCTGCATAAAATTTTTAAAACCAAATCATTTTATCTCGTTCAGTCGACTTATGAAATCTGAGTTTTCAAACTTTCCAATTTTTTTTTTAATGACTTATATCGTAGTTTGGTACTTTTTGTCTAGCAGGCCGGACTGAAACCTCACTTCTTATCTATCTTATCTAACGTCACGTTACATAACCTCCCTCTTCTTATCCTGCCAAACCTTTGAGTTATTGCATTGTTTAGTTTTCAGTTATTCCCTTATTACGTTCACTTATTAAATTCTTTACTTTTGGCCCGTTTGTGTTTATTTTTCATTATTTTTAGTTTTTGGCCCGTTAGTGTTTATTTTACATTTTTTTTAGTTTGTGGTCCCTTTGTGTTTCTTTTCGTTATATTATGGATCTTCTTAGAATATGGAATTTGCCGTCTTCAGAAGAACAGGCGCTTAATATTTTTAAAATGTTGGGGTACTTGCCGAAGTGAAATTGTGTGATCGAAGTCATCGAATGAAGTCAACCAGGAAGGCCAAATGGAGATGCTTTCGTAGGACTTATGAAACCAAACTTTCAATAAGGAAAGGAACATGGTTGGAGGGCTCGAGGATTTCGTTTTCAACAGCTTTAAAATTGATTTATGGGTGGTCCCATAGCTTGACAACGATGAAGTGGGGCAAAGAGCTGCTGAAACTATTTTACGGAGCTATGGTAACGTGGAACAAATGTCTAAGAGAGGTTTGTGCCCATGACATGTTATACAGGCCAAGAACCTGGCAAAGTGGTTGAAGTAAAAGAAAGTCTTATTTCTAAACGAAAAAATCATGTGGGGAGAATTTTACCTCAGCAGTGGATGTTTGGTGGAGTTTACCGATAAACAGATGAATGTTTTATCTTTTTATAAAACAGATTTTGTTTTATATTTTTTCTTTTCTATGTAAATATGTTCTTTTAAATGTGTTTTTTATTATTTCATTTTGATGTTTTATATGTACATATCTTCTTAAAGTGTTCTTTTTATTATTTCATTAATATATGTGTCGTCAAATAAAAGTATTTTTTTTTGTTATTACATTTGTTTTGTATCTGTTTACACTTTCAATTATACGAATTTAATACAATAATACGAAGATATGAAGTAAAAGAAGGCTTATCACTGCGTTATGGGAGTTATCAGTGTTCAGGTTATAAACATTGGCAGGTAGCAGTCAGTAGCGGCCCCCTAGACGAAAAGTACCCGTAGTTTTAATAAGGTTTTTAGTTTTTTAATTGGCTTTTGTAACCTTCATATTTGTACAGATGAATACCATTTTCCGTACAAATTTTTAGTCTAAAACCTTCATTTTTTATTAGGAGAGTAGGAGGCTACATTAGCTCAATACTGTAACGAAAACTACAGGATTTAAATCTCTTATTTTGTGTTAGGAGAATATGAGATTATAGGCCCTCAATACATATGTAATTGAATGAACAGCTGTATAATTAGTGGTAATGATAGAGCTAATAGGACAGCTCCTGTAATCTACTCTTCTAATACTAAAATATAAAAGTCACTAAAAACTTTGTATTATATAGAGCTGCGTACCAGTTGAATTTATAAAAAATATTTTCAAGATCATTTTTATAATAAAATTACAGTACTTTAATATTGTACTGAACAATATTTAGAATAAAGCTCATATTTTTTTGGGATATTTTAAATAAATGTCAGTTTTCTGTCATTCTTCCTGTTTCTTCACCAAAATCCGTCTCAGGAAACTTTGGGAATATTAAGGTACTATTTGGCTGGCGCGGTCGACGACAGCGACCGCTATTCCCCCATGCCAACCGCTGTTGGCGTACCTATTTCGCTGAAACTGCTCACTGGGGTTGTTATAACCTGCCTATAACCTTCGAACATTTCGCTGTATCTTCGAAGATAAAAAGATGGACATAATATAAGAATAAAAATGAACTTCCTATAATAATGAAATCTCTGACTACCACTTTTTTATTTGAGTTGGAAAAAGAAGAGAAAATGTTGTTCATAAAGAGAAGGAATATCAGTATTTCGATGTGATGCTCATCATCAAAGTTCCTCTGATATTACATATTATTAGTTTGAAAAATAATAGTAATTAATACATAATTGGTTAGTAATAAATATCATACATTTGTAATTAAATCTCAGCAAGCGATGTTTTATAGTTTTATCAATAGTAATCAGTAAATCACCACTTTAATTAAAAAATACAAATCGTTTTTTCAATGGGTGGATTTTAGTATTTACCTGACGATAAAATTTGTTGGATTCTTTAATTTATTTAATATCGTTTGGATTTAGGTATATTTGTATTTCGCTGTAAAATATTGCTGGTGGAATAAATAAATAAATAATCTTGTTACTTCAACCTCAAAAAAATAATTTACTATTGCATTGTTTCAGTTTTAAACAATATTTGTTATAATTTTGCCAGACTTGAAAGAAACATAGGAAATAAAACGTATCGACGGGACTGTTATCATCAAAACAATGCTCTGATATGATAACATAACCTACAACCGCCAACAGCTCCACTGCTTCAAGAGGAGTCAGATACGAGCAGCTTAGATATGACGTCATACCTAAACTGCCGAGCAGCGCCAGCGAAATAGGTTCCTTTCTATTCCACTAAAGCAGTGGTCAACCGCGAGCAGTCGCGGTCGTGGACCGCGCCAGCGAAATAGTACCTTTAACAGTTATTATGGGAAGGCTATTGAATATTTTCAGTCATTTTATGCCTTTTTTTTAAATATTTTGGTCAATATTTAATTATACTGTACTATGAAGAAAGTAGCTCAATACTCCCCAATAATTTATACAATAATATGTCAAACATGCTGGGTCTGAAATAACATTTCATCCAAGAAAATTTTAAATCTACTATCTGGTAGTAAATATGTCAACTCTGAATCCCATGTACCATGTACCACATGGTAGCCATAGTCGGGTATTGTTGAACAAATTTTTATTCGAATAATTTATTTAATAAATTTTCAATCACTAAATTTTTAGTGATTGACGATTCCTAGTATAACCTGTTGATTTATTCTGAGAAACATTCAGTATTTTTAAACGAAATAAACAAATTATTCAATAAACATATGTCTGAATAAATATTTATTCTAAGAAAATATCCACTAAATATAAATTATTCAGCAAACAAAATTCACTGAATAATTATTTATTCTTGTATAAATCATGCAACATTTATAATTAAATTAAATTTACATAAAAAAAAAAAAGTTACTTTAAATTATTAGGAGAGCATTTAAAAAAAAAAAATTAATTGTACAATATCGATTTATTTTAAAATTGATTCTTCATAATGTAGACTGTTAACAATCTTTGTACGGCTTATTTAATTAATTGTAATCAAGATTGATGTTCGCCAACACCTTCATTGAAGTTCGACCACTAGGAAATATAGGTTCTGATAGATGAGTAAAAATAAAGGGGTCAGTAGTGAAGCAAAATAATAATTTGACAAATTCCACCCATACTCTTATTTCATAGTTAGTTCTGCTCAAAAGAAAAAAAATCTAGTGCACAAAAAGAACAACTTTCGCTTACTGCTCTAATTTGAATTGCAATAATTTTCTGGCAATGTTGGACTACTATGAAATTTTTGAAGTGCATTTTAAATGCAGCTAAAGCTTACAGCTAACAAATCATTAATACGATAAAAATAACAAAAACTCTGCTTATCATATTGACGGTAGGCAATAAAAATCTCGTTACTCCATCGGTTTTTGTAAACTACACAACTTTAACTCCTAACCATGAGAGTAGATAGTTAATTACTTTAAATTAATGGTACTTAAGAGGAAAATTTAAGTATTTTAGCCCTGTAAAGTGACATCAATGATATTAAAGACCACTTAATTATACAATGATACACTGAGACACTGAGTTTAATCAAAATCGTTGGAGCCGTTTTTGAGAAAATTGTAAAAATATGTATAACCGTGATATAAAGTGCCTCTTCCGGTTAGTCGATTTTAATGAAAAAGTTGCTGTCACATCCAAGGCATAAACCTATCTGAAATACTTGATATCAGTTTTGTACGACTTTTTGTTTTTGAACTAGACTGATTACACACACACAGACCATTTGGGGGAACTTTAAACTTATGGGACCTCTAAACATGTATTTCCGTTGAAAATTCAGATTAAAAAATTTTCACGATTGCAATACCTTCCCTTACTATATATATTACTTATATAGGAAGTCAATATAGTTTCCTCACCGTTTTCATTGGCTAAAATATATCTATATTACAAGGTATACAATTTTTCGTATGAGAATAAAATCTCGGAGAGAAGCCGATTCAGAAATAGATAGATAGAAAATAACTTTATTCTGGGACATAAAATCAATCGAAAAAAAGAAATAATGTAAAGGAAATATAAGGTAAATATTCTATATACAAAACAATTAACACTATGACAAGACACTTAAAGCTATTTGCACTGATAGACCAGTATACACTTTAAAAAAACAATAAAGAATAAAAATTATTAAATTCTTAATTAAAATCAGCTTTGTGTTTCTGTTGAGAAAACAGAAAGCTGAATCTGACAATATAAAGTGTCTGATTAATATATAAATACATTATCATTTAGCATTGATATTTGACAATGAATGGCATGAAATAAATGTATGTTGTCGAATGGTTAGCAACTATCTGACTGTTTTTGGGATAGGAATTGGAATAGGAGGGTTTTGAATGTGGATATGGATGGGGAATGTCGAATTTTGATAGGGAGGGAATTCCAGAAATTGACAGAGCGGGCAATAAAGGAGTTTTGGAATGAGGCAGATCTGTGAGAAGGCATGTAAAGGTTAGAAGGTCGAGATCTTGTGGATAGGGAATGGACTGAGGATTTGAACTGGAGAAAGGTTGCAAGCATAAGAAGGACAATGGTTGTTGATGTTTTGGTAGAGGAACGTACCTAGGAAATATTGTCTTCAGAAGGAAGGGAAAAGCTACTTTAACTCAGCATAGTGGTGAGAGACATGGGAGTATCTTGGGGCTCCAATCACAAATCTTACGCAGATGTTCATTAGTCTTTTCAGTCTATCGCGGAGCTCCACAGAGAAGCCATCATCCACCACACAGCTATAGTCAAAGTGGAGGAAAATGAGAGAGGAAACTAAGAGTCTAAGCGTATGTTGAGGTAGGAGATGGCAGAAGCGATGGAATAGTTTGAGGATGGAAATTGTCCGTCGAGAGATATGAGAAATATGGTGATTCCAAAAGAGATTTTGATCAATGAAAAATTCTAATTTTTTAACAGGGGAGTAGAAGGAGATTGGCTGGTCATTAAGGTGAAGGATGGGAAAGTCGGTATGGGATCTAAGAAGGGGCTTGGAAGCAATGATAATGGCCTGAGTTTTGGCAGCATTTAACCTTAATCCATTTACGTTTGCCCAGGCACTAATTCAATCTAGGTCTTCTTGGATCTTGGCGAATTCCCCCAATAACTCAGGAGGGGAAAATGATAGGTACATCTGAGAATCGTCTGCATAAAGGTGGTGGGAACAATTAAGAATTGATATATGTAGATCGTTAATGTAGGAGCTGAAAAGGAGAGGAGATATGCTTGAACCCTGGGCAACTCCAGAGGATAAAGAAAGAAAGGCAGATAGTGGTTGATTGGGTATGGAGACTGCTTGGGTACATTGTGAAAGGAAAGATTGAAACCAAGAGATGGAACTATTGGAGAAGGATAATAATTTCAGTTTGTTGAAAAGGATGGGATGGTTAATGGAATCGAAGGCTTTGGAGAAGTCGAGAAGGATAAGGATAGTTAACTTTTTATCATCTATTGCAGTTTGAATGTCGCTGGTGATTTTAATTAAAGCGGATTGTGTGGAGTAGCTGGGACGGAAACCAGATTGGAGAGGATCAAGTTGGTTGGACTTTTCAAGGAAGTTAGAGACTTGGGATTGCACCAATCTTTCTAGGGGTTTTGAGAGGTTGGAAAGAATTGAGATTGGAGAGAAATCTTCGGGTGAGGTCAGATTAGAATTTTTAATCAAAGGAAGGACAATGGCTTTTTTCCAAGATGTAGGCAGCGTCGCGCCTCTTCTGCAGGTCTTTAATTTCCTGACACACCCAAGGAGCAGGCCGGTGACGAAATGTAGAGGTTTTAAGAGGGACATGGGTATTGAGGAGATTGGTAGTAATAATATCAACCATAGAATCGATACAAGTGCAAGAATATATTCCATGCCAATCTAGGATTTCCAGGTCAGGTAATATTTGTTCTCGTGTAAGGGAATCTGGATGGCGGAAGGTGGATAGTTCGAGGCTGGATAGGAGGAGTTTGAATATTATATGTTATTTTTATCAGATCGTGAGATGACATAAAGGATACTGGCAGTTGGGAAGAGGAGATGAGGTTTTGTGCAGAGTCTATAATGTAGAAATCTAGCCAAGTGTCGGACCTGCTAGTATGGTGAATGGGAGAAAAAGGAACAATAAAGAGTTGAAGGGAGAAGAATAGTTCTTCTAGATAGGATTTGTCATTGGAGTTAGATAGGAAATTGGTATTGAGGTCACCGGAGATGATTATTCTGGGATAGAGGAGCACGAAATTCAATAGGGTAGTTAAAAAGGACGTGTGAAATGGAACAAGAGGAGGCCAGGACGATATACCACAGCGTAGAGAAGAGGAGAAATATTACAGAGGATTTCAACTTTAAAAAGATATGTACCACTACAACCCATGAAGGGTCTTGGGTTCAGTACTATTTTAGGGAAAGCACTGTTTCTAGGTCAACGGTTGTGCAAGGAAGTGATTTGACCGGGATCACGCTCAACTGCCAGGTTTTCCCCCTTAATTAATTATTTAATTAAGGATACCCACTTTATAGAGGCTAGATGTGCCCCAGGAGGGTCTCCAGACTTCTGACGTTTCTGAAATATTGGCATATCTACACAAATGCATCTGAGCGAGTGGAAGCGGAAGTGCAGATTAGAATTTAATAAAATTGATATGGGACCATCTAGACACCAACCTGCACAATTCATGAAAATCGGATAAACGGTAGTAGGTGGGTGATACACCTGTTACATTGGATTGGCTACAGACACGGACCAAATTTGAACCTTGATGTCTGAAACGTAAAACACGAGTGAAAATTTTCGATTTTAAGTACAAAATTTACAAAGTACAAACCTCTCTCACGAATACAGTGCTTTCCTACCTTCGGTAGTGATGAAGCAAAATGGGATTAGATTATTTTTCTTGAAAACTGATCAGAGAAATAATTAGAATACAATTTTTTTGATGAACTGAAGCAATGTAAACGGACATGTGAACCATCATTAAAATCACCCTATGAAGTTCAGTACACTGTAACTTTGCTAAAACTGGTGCAATTCAGACAATTTCTTTTAATTTTGTGGAAAATTTAATAATGTTTAAAAAAATAGGCTAAAAAGGTGTTGCTTTGCTTAGTAGCGATAGGAAAGTAATAAATCATGTGAAGAAAATAAATTACGCTGTATCATTGCTAATCCTGGTTTGATTCCGATCAATTTTTGTGTTTGTATGGAATTTAATTACCTTTCAAAAGATTCTATAATATATAAAATTTACCATGGAATGTATACTTAGTTATTTAGGACCTAAAAAATTTTTGTTTTCTTTATAACTTTTTCCTGGGAATTCACTACATCTACGAAAATTGAAGTGACTTTAAGTAGAAGATTAGAGTAGACAGAAGTTTCATCTAAATCCTTATAACTGTTTTAGTGCTACTGTCTATATAAAAACATATTTCTCTTATTGCACAGAGAGCAACGATACATATTTCACAAGCATCAATAGTCAAAATCATAAAAAACAAAAAAAAGAAGCAACATAATTGATCCGCTCATTCCCATGATAATCTCAGTTCAGACAGATAGACCAAAGGCTGAATATGTGTTTAGTCCTACAAAGGGCTCTGAAGTGTAAAGATCTGTTGAAAACCGCATATGAAAAATTTGACCCTATCACAATACTTTCCTTATCTGCTAGTGTTAGGAAAGTAAAAAAAATCTGCTATTAATATTTTTTGTTTTCAATTTAAGATTTATTTATCTATTCATTGTTTATTTATTGATAAAATATTTCATGTTTGGTTGCAGAAAAGGAAGAAAAAAAAGGATCATGATAAGTCTAAGAAAAAACGAAAAGAAGGTTACTCTAGCTCTAGTGAAGACGAATATGAGAGGCGCCCCACGGGTAATTAATTAGAATTCAAAATAATATAAATAATTTTTAAATATTATTGTACATTCCTCATGGCAGTAGTTGTGGTGTGATTTTCATGACACTTTGTCTTTATAACTATGCTGAATATTTAATTTGTTTCTAAAAACAATATTAATTTTTTTTAAAAAAAAGTTTTATCTTTAATAATCATAAATTTTAAAACAACTTATTTATAGTCTTTTCTTTGGCGGCTAATATCCAAATAAAGAAGCCATAATGCTAAAGTCGTCTTGCAAAGTTTTATTAAAAATGAATTGTTGGTTTATTATTTTCTGAATAAGCAAAGCGACATGGTTGTGTTTGTGTTGTCTCCTAAAAGCTATGTAACTATTTTTGATTTGAAGAGCTGGATCAATTTTTAAGTTCGATGGCTTAAATTATTCGGTGAGATCTCTGAATGTTTTGAAACAATTTGAGCTAAAAAAAAACTGACTTGTAATTGAGTCCAAATAACTAAAATGGGGAGAACCTACAGTCATTGGGTCACCAATTTTAACCAATTTTATTTTTGGTGATAGTATATCGAAAAATATCGGGCACCTATCCCAACGTTCGTTCCGATGGGCCCTACTTGAAGTCAAGAAAAAAGAAATTTATGTTATTTATTTATGTTATTACGAAGAGAAAAGGAATTCATCTGCTTTGACGAGGTCTATTGTATCGACAGTGAAAGCCCTACAAGATATGCGGGTATTGTCGTATTTCCCAGGACAGAAGGAAAGTGCTAATCTTGGATCTAACTCTCCTCTTTGAGAGTAATGACTTCAATCAGGCAGATGAAGTGGAAAGGGAAAAAAAGAACACAAATGATAAATATATCTCATTCCTAAAAGAGAAGTTCGGAGAGAGAGAGTTTACCGAGAGAGGCCCCTGGTGTGTGAAACGATCCCAAAAAGAACAAGGAGCTTCCTCGAGGAACTAGGTGTCTTCATTAAGGACGTAGCAATTTTAGCTAGAAATATAATCCTTGACTCTCTAAGAATTATTCACCTTCAACGTGCACAAAGACCCATTTTAAAAGCTCTTTATTATTTGCGAAATACTTTTACAACCCACAAAACATTAAATTGCATCTTCTCTCGGCAAGAACAGCACTGTTATACAGTTTATTTAGAACGTTTCTTCTTTGAATGTCTGCGAGCATTGAAGTATCCCACCAACCTTGATATCTTCATTCCATCAAGGTTTTATCTTGGTGAAATCGCTCACCATGGTCATGTTCGTCACTTACCGATCCAGAATTTTTGGAATAATGTCCAAATGAGGGTGAAGAAAATGAATTTTGAGTGACATGTTACAACCGAGATCTCTGTACTTCTCAAGGAGGGTTTGGACTAAGACAGCATAATTATCCTCTTTTTTGAAACCATTAACTAAAGCTGTAAATGCTTCCCACGCTGCTCTTTCTTTACCCTGAAGAATATTAAAAAATGCTCTGTCAATAAGAAGCTCATGAGAAGTTATGAAAATAAATTGTTAGTACTTTAAAAAATTAAAATGTTAAAATAATTTAATTAATTAAATTCATAAACAAGATCATTTGTGAATCCTGGGAAATCGTTTAAGTATTTATAGGATTAATTTGTTGGGAGGAAAAAAAATCTCTTGAAAAAAAGTCAGAATAACTTTTATCCTAAATATTGTTATTTCATAAAATCGTGTTATAACATAAAGTTGTATTTTTTTTATTAATTTAGGAACATGGAGGGTAATGTGCTATACAGAAGCAGATTGGAGGGAGCTCGCTCGATCTATGGCTGGTTCCAGCTGTCGAGAAGAGAGAGCTTTATACACTGTTCTCTCTGAAGATTTTCTGCCAGAAATACCTCGACTTTTTGAAGAGAAGGAGAGGCTACAAAGGAAAAGGGCAGCTGAACAAGCACCAAGACGAGCATCTCGCCGCCTTGCCAAGCAAGAAGAACAAACAGTAAAGCCTTCGAAAGATGATCGATATTCAGAAAGAGAGCGTGTTAATCGAGAAAAAATGGAACAACGTGAAAGGTAAGTGTGTCCTCTTTAATTCTTTATTCTTTAACTTGCATATTTATTCTATTTCATAGTTTAGATATCAGGGTGCTCAATATCCTTGAATTCCTTGAAGATTAATTTATTAAACTGAAATGAAGGTATGTAGAGGCCAGTTCAGATTTATATGATTCTATCATCACTCATCCTTATAACATGGCTGAGCCATTTTAATGTTTGTATTATGATGTAAGGCAAGTTGCTAATTTCCTTATAGAATCTAAACAGTTTGCTGTTTCACGAATTGCTTCATAAGATTCATCTTAGAGATTCTCAAGTGTTCTCATGTTTCCTGCTTGTACACCGAGGTGATGTGGCTCCATCCTACTTCCCAACTAATTCCTTCTTGGTGTTTTCCTTTTCTAAGTCTTCAGAACCAAAAATCCTCCTTACATCCTATAACTCCTTGCTCTAGGCTCTTCTATCCACTCTCTTAATATCAGATCTCAACCTATATATCTATATATTCCCTCTCATAAAACTACTTCCTTCAGCAAATTCTTTGTCATTCATGCTACCTCCGTTTGGAACTCCTTACCTATCTCCATATGCCAAACCACATCCACCTACTACACATTGAATTTTCCGCAAGAATGAAGAGTCGTACGAAGCTGATATTACGTATTTAAGATAGATATATGCTTTAAATGTGACAGCAACTTTTTCCTTTAAATCGGCTAACCGGAAGTGCCACTTTAATCAACGCTGAAACATATTTTCACAATTTTCTCAAAAACGGCTCTAACGATTTTGATTAAACTCGATGTATCATTGTATAATTAAGTGATCTTTAATATCAATTAGGTCTTATCCCCATTGATGCCACTTTACAGGGCTTAAATGCCTAATGTTCATATACCTCTTCCTCTAAAGTACCTTTAATATGGTTTCTTTTAAAAAGTTAACTATCTCTCATTGTTAAGAGTTATGAAAAAATGCTAAATATAACTTTTGAAAGAATTTGATAAATTAATAAAAGAGAAAAAAATAAAAAAGCTTATCCAGGTCGAAAATGAATCTCCAGAAATACCGTTCAGAAGGTATACGTATAATATATCGTTGGAAAGCGGAGAATTTTAGAAAAAAAAACAATATCTAATAAAGAAAGTTGTAGAAGGTAACGGAGAGTGTCAAAAAATTATAAATGATAATATTAGAAAACTAATAATATTTAACGTAAATCACATGTTTTCAAGGAAATTAACTGAAATTTTCTAACAAAATGTAAACTTAAAATATTGTTAAGTTTGAAAAAAGTATTTAAAATCCACCTAATCAAGGCAATGGCATAGTTAAAAAAACTATTTCATTGTACTTCGGTGAAAGAAGAAGTAAAACATAAAATCATTTCATGGATGTATAAAGCATATGTTTAAACCTTAAATATATTTACTACAGTTTAATAATTCTAGATCTGATATTATATTTAAATAATTAGGTATGAACGTCCGTTTATTCCGAAATATTGACATGTAACTTTTTAGAAAATTAAATTAGTGAATAATTTGATTAATCTTCCCTTTGTGATATTCCAACAGTAGTATCCATTACTAATTCATTGTACTTGTGTGAAAGAAGAAGTGAAATATAAAAATATTTTATAGATACATTTATAAACTTTAATATATTAACTGTAGTTTAATAACTCTAGATCTGATATTATATTAAAATATTTAGGTATCTATCGTCCATTTATTCCAAAAAATCATCATGTATCCTTTTAGAAAATTAAATTAGTGAATAGTTCCATTTACAATTAGTGTGACAACTTTTGACCTATCTATGACAGACAATGCAAATCTCTTAAATCCGTTTTAGCAAACTTTGCAATGGAAAATAACAGTTTAATAAATAATAATCTTACAATCCCTAATCAACAATCCATAATGAACTGGTGATATAATAAATAGGACTTTTGTTATTATAATAATAATAAATAGGACTTTTGTTATTATAATGGTATTTATGATTTGTTAACTGTAATTTAATAAGAATATGGGGCTGAATCTTTGAGAATGGAATTTGGAGAAGAAGAAAAAATGAGGAGCTGCAGGAACTCTATGGTGAACCTGATATTGTGGCATTGATAAAAAGAGCCAGAATCAGATGGTTAGGTCATATGGAAAGAATGCCAAAGAAGATGCTGCTTGAGAAGCCAGGTGGCAAAAGAAATAGAGGACACTCTCGGATCAGATGGCTGGAAGATGTTGAGGACAATCTGAGGTGGCTGGGCATTTGGAGATGGATGGAAGTAGCGCAAGACCTTGGAGATTGGTTCACTGTAGTAGAGGAGGCCCGAGTTCTATCAGAATCGTAGCGCCATTATAACAATAATAGCTGTAATTTTTTAGCTTTAGCTCCTAATTCACCTAAATATAACTTTTGAAAGAATTTGATAAATTAATAAAAGAGAAAAAAATAAAAAAGCTTATCCAGGTCGAAAATGAATCTCCAGAAATACCGTTCAGAAGGTATACGTATAATATATCGTTGGAAAGCGGAGAATTTTAGAAAAAAAAACAATATCTAATAAAGAAAGTTGTAGAAGGTAACGGAGAGTGTCAAAAAATTATAAATGATAATATTAGAAAACTAATAATATTTAACGTAAATCACATGTTTTCAAGGAAATTAACTAAAATTTTCTAACAAAATGTAAACTTAAAATATTGTTAAGTTTGAAAAAAGTATTTAAAATCCACCTAATCAAGGCAATGGCATAGTTAAAAAAACTATTTCATTGTACTTCGGTGAAAGAAGAAGTAAAACATAAAATCATTTCATGGATGTATAAAGCATATGTTTAAACCCTTAAATATATTTACTACAGTTTAATAATTCTAGATCTGATATTATATTTAAATAATTAGGTATGAACGTCCGTTTATTCCGAAATATTGACATGTAACTTTTTAGAAAATTAAATTAGTGAATAATTTGATTAATCTTCCCTTTGTGATATTCCAACAGTAGTATCCATTACTAATTCATTGTACTTGTGTGAAAGAAGAAGTGAAATATAAAAATATTTTATAGATACATTTATAAACTTTAATATATTAACTGTAGTTTAATAACTCTAGATCTGATATATTAAAATATTTAGGTATCTATCGTCCATTTATTCCAAAAAATCATCATGTATCCTTTTAGAAAATTAAATTAGTGAATAGTTCCATTTACAATTAGTGTGACAACTTTTGACCTATCTATGACAGACAATGCAAATCTCTTAAATCCGTTTTAGCAAACTTTGCAATGGAAAATAACAGTTTAATAAATAATAATCTTACAATCCCTAATCAACAATCCATAATGAACTGGTGATATAATAAATAGGACTTTTGTTATTATAATAATAATAAATAGGACTTTTGTTATTATAATGGTATTTATGATTTGTTAACTGTAATTTAATAAGAATATGGGGCTGAATCTTTGAGAATGGAATTTGGAGAAGAAGAAAAAATGAGGAGCTGCAGGAACTCTATGGTGAACCTGATATTGTGGCATTGATAAAAAGAGCCAGAATCAGATGGTTAGGTCATATGGAAAGAATGCCAAAGAAGATGCTGCTTGAGAAGCCAGGTGGCAAAAGAAATAGAGGACACTCTCGGATCAGATGGCTGGAAGATGTTGAGGACAATCTGAGGTGGCTGGGCATTTGGAGATGGATGGAAGTAGCGCAAGACCTTGGAGATTGGTTCACTGTAGTAGAGGAGGCCCGAGTTCTATCAGAATCGTAGCGCCATTATAACAATAATAGCTGTAATTTTTTAGCTTTAGCTCGGTTAAAAACGCAATTCAAAAATTTTATAATAGTCTAACATGGCCAAAAAATAATTTCTATTCAAAGTTGAGCTGTAAGTGAAAGTTGTGTGTTGCGTGCACCAGATTTTATTAATTCTGCTATTATTCTAAGGGGACTCTAGTTCCATGTTAAAATTATTTTTCATTTCATTTTCTTAATCGCCCATGACTTTTTCGGCTTACGAGTCCCAGAATTATCCTCAATATTATGCTTTCAAAACTGTACCGTAGGTTGATACTTTTATTGTTGAGGGTCCATGTTTCTCCTGTATGTGATTACAGATCTTATAAGAGTCTTGGAAAGCCTAACCTTGGTGATGCTACTTATGGCACTGCTGCTCTTGATTATTCTTGATATGGAGAAATAAGCTTTATTCTTAGCTGCGATTCTCCTTCTCGCCTCTTTTTCTTCAAATAAATTGTAACTAATAAGCCAAAGTTTAGAAAGCTTCTCACCAATTCAAAACTGAAAGGGCTCATTTCATAGTGATTTCTCATTAATATGGAGGCCGATCTTCTTTGCCTCTATAAGTGCTTTAAAAGACAATCTCTGTATAGGGATCTCCCGATGATTACTATGCCATCTCCAAGTTAAAACTTGAGTCATCTTTGTGAATATCGTCCCCTCTTGATTCAGTCTATTGATGTAGAGCTATGCTATTATGTCATAAGTTGCCCTGAAATCAATCAACAGCTTCCAAATAGTCTGCTGGTATTGATTCATCTGTTCAGAGATCTGTCTCAGAGTGAAGATTTGGTCAATAGTAGTGGGCTGGAAACCATCTTGATCATCACCCAGTTTATGTTCCATGTAAGGAAGGAGCCTGTTGAAGAACGATATGAAGAAAATTGCATGCGCTTTGTTGAGCAAACTAATCCTATAGTATATGTTGTTGACCCTCCCTTCTTTTTGTACACTGATACTATTAGGGTCTCATTCCATTCTTTAGGTAAGATATCCTCTTCTCATATTTCAGTTATCACATTCTGCATTTCTGTGACGACTCCATGATACCCTACTTTAAACATCTGTGGTAAGTCCATCATTGTATGTATAATTCCGCTAACCACCTGATGACTTGTTATTTTTGAGTTTTCACAATATCTCATCAATATTCTCTATTAATCGTACTTGGTCATTTTAGCAGTTCTTAGATTCTCTGGGGTTTATCAAATTCAGAAAATGTTGTCACCATCTTTCTTGTACATCTTCTATGAATGCCATTTTTCTGTGGCCATCTTTAATCAAGTTTCCTCTTCTAGTCTGTCCACTCTTGCATTTTATTATTTAATTGAGTTTTATCATTACAAGGGAGAGGTTACAAGTGTGAGATCACTGATTTTTTTTGGTGACTATAAAAATTGAAACTTTTTTTTGGTGATTTGAGACCAACTAATATTAGACCTATTTCCAAGGATTCTTGCCGATCAATCCTTTCAATTTTGATAAAATGTTAACGTTTTTTTAAATCATTATGTTCTGCCTTTGCTCTGCATGGACTTCTAGATTGTATTATACCAATTGATTTCTTTGTTTTGTAAAATAAGAAAACATATTTTCAGATTTGTTTCTAGCATCCTTAAATAATCTTAAATATGAAGTTGTTTTGTAACCAAAAATTTTTCATTTGCTAAAGCATTCTTGACTCCTCAGGATTTTCTCCCTATTCAATGTTATTGCAACTGTTTGAAAACTTTTACTTTTAGGTTTTTATTTTCTTTATAAAGATTACATTAAGAAAAACTTCTAAAATGATTTCATTATATATCTCTGGTTCTAATTTGTAATGGGGAGTCTGGATTGTGCCATTTCATCTGGAAGTTATTAGCATTTTAAAAACTTTGTACAAAACATTTTTACTTTCACTTAGGTATATATGTAATATATAGTAAGGGTAAGTATTGCGATTAAGACAATTTTCGAATCTGAGTTTTCACCGGAAATACACGTTAACGTTACGAAATAACGTTTTGGGGTACCCTGAGTCCAAATAACCAAGTCCCGAAAAACGGTCTGTGCGTATGTTCACTAGCTTGAAAACGAAAAGTCGTACGAAGCTGATATTACATATTTAAGATAGGTATATGCCTTGAATGTGGTTTATATTAAAAATTTAATCATTTCACATTATTCATAGTTACAAAAAAATGCTAAATATATAAGTTTTGAAAGAATTTAATAAGTTAATAAAGGAGAAAAAAATGGAGAAAAACCTGTGTTGCTATAGACTGTAGCGCCTAAACAAATGTACTGATTTCAATGAAACTTCGCCAAAGTCATTTCCTCGACACCCTTTAAATTTATCTATATAACATACTTTAACGAAAAGAAGCTGAAAAAAGTTACGAGGGCTGGTAAAATTAAATTACGAATAATTCAAAAAGTATACACTTTTTTGGGGATATTGTACAAACTATGAAATGTTGAGCAAAATATTTATTTATTATTTTTTTTTTTTAATGACTGCAATGAAAATTCTCTCTATATTTAGCTGGAATATATGAAAGATATGTATAACAAATCTGTAACCATTGAATAGATAATTGATTATGTTTACATTTGGAACTATTATAGTAATAAAATATTGGCAGTATTGGCTTAGCATAGTTATAATATATGGTTATGAATTATAATTATATTCAATAATTTTAATCCAGGTTTGTCATCCTGTGTTCGTATACATTTTTAAAAATTCTTTCTTCTTCCAATGACTCCGCAGAACATTACTGGTTCTTAGCCTCTTCTAATAACATCAGCTAGTCTGCAAAATCCTCTTACTTAGTGTTCTTTGCATCCGTTGCTATTGATAGCTTCACTCACTGTTTTCTGGAAATCTTACCTTCTGACACATCAACTAGGTGGCTGACCTACTTCATTCTTCCAAAACTGATGGGTCTTTATTTGATTCACTGAGAAGGTTGTATTATATAAAAAAGAACTTCTTTTATTTAAAGTCTCATGCAGCCATAATTTGGTCGTTCTTGACAGATATTTATAGATATTGATACAGATTTTTATCTTCCTAGAATGAAGTGACAAGTAGCCAGTCTAAGTTGACTAATCCTGTTTTTACCTGCCTGTAATCTAACTTAATTATTTAAATTTATAATCATTCTGTTTTTTTGTATTACTATAGGCAAGCTAGGATTATGAATAGATCTCAGTCAGATTCTGATGAGGGGTCAAGTCTTAGCGAAAGTGCTCTTGTTCCTGCTGTTGGAAGACAGACCAATAACTCCCTCTCTTCTGCTACTGGAGAAATTTTCATACAACCAAATAGACAGAAGTTCAAAACAACACAACTGTAAGTTACTATTTTAATATTCATTCTAAATATAATTTGCCAGCTTATATTTATGGTTTGTTTTTAAGTAGCCTAAAATGCTTTTGTAGAATGATATAGCTAAGTTGATCAGGTTATGAAATCATGATTTTTGGTACAATTCACACCTGGGCAAATATGTATTTTAAAATACTTTGTTTAAAATACTAAGTATTTTGTGTTTTTGAAATACAATTTTAATCACCAAATAATTAAATTGTTTACAGAAAAAGTATTTTGTATTTGAAATTTAAATACTTATTAAGTTAAATATTTAAGTAAAGTGATTTAAAATTAAGTAGTAATCGAAATACTAGCTGATTAAAATTGTATTAAAAACAAAACAAAATACTTGGTATTTTAAATAATGTATTTTAAAATACTTTCTGCCCAGATCTGGTACTATTATTATAGAATTAAAAATCTGATGCGGTGCACCAGATAGGTATTTTCATTTATAGGGAAGTTAAAGTGAAAACGATTGTTCAATTTCATTTGAAACAATTGATTATTACTATATTTTTCCAACCCATCAGATCTGTTAAATTTATACATTTGCATCACTTACCATTTTCTTTTATTATTATACCTGGCAATTCTGATGATTGTGGAGGAAAATGGATCTTTTGGAAAAAAAATTGGGTTTTATTGGAAACATATATCGTGAAACTCGTTGAAAAAATAAGTCAATGATTGTATATATTGTATACTATTAGGTTTATATTAGTAGATTCTCTCATTTCGGTGTTAAGACCATTTTAGAAAATTATGGATAAGTGAAGTCAACAAAATGAAAGCCCTGTACAGGGCAGTGTTTGGTATCTGTAAATGGAGAGGATTGGCAAAGTTCGTGAACTCTTGGCTGTTTCCTTATAGTTTCCAACCCTTACTTAGTTACCAATCAATTTTTTTCATTCATTATGTTTTACCATTTGTTATTACTAGTTACAATGTGAAATTATTAATTTTTTTAAAGAACATAAGTAAGATTCTTTAGAGCAAGAAATTTTAAAAATTGGACATCTAATTCCTGTTAAAATACATCAATGAGGATAGGACCTATCTTATATTAAAAATGATTTATTTTACCTGAGTATGACGAGTTTGATCAAAATCATTTGAGCCGTTTTTGAAAAAAAAAAATAAAATAAAAAGTGGTGTAAAGAGGCACTTTCGGTTGGCCAATTGTGACGAAAAAGTTTCCGTAAAATCCCAGGTATATCACCTATTTTTAGTTTTGTAGAACTCCGTTTTTTTAGCTAGTCTGTTCACACACAGATTTTGTGGGACTTAGTTATTTCGACTCGGGAAACACTAAAACATGTATTTCTGTTGAAAACTTAGGTTCAAATTTTTCATGATTTTTCCCTTACTATTTTCTACATATATACACAAGTGAGAAAGTAAGAAATGATTTGAAAAACTTATGATTAATTTCATGAGATTTAACTCTGTGAGAAAAAGTAATGGACTTATTCTTAGCTGCAATACATGTGAGAAGCAAAACAGAATGGATAGAGGGCTCCTATAAAGTTTTCATTACCTGTTTTCACAAAAACTGCAATTAGCCTATTATAGTTTTCTAAAATTTCTCATTATTTCAATCATGTATAAATGATCTGTATATTTAAAAAAATAAAATTAAATGTAAAATATAATATCAAATTTTCACATATCTATGTATTTAAAAAAAAAAAAACTGTTAAATTCATAAATGCATCTCTAAATATATAATTAAAATTATGGATATAATATTATGTAATATAATCTTGTATCAATTTATTTTGAACTAGAAGAATATTACACAGGTGATAAAAATCTATATTCTGAATAATTCAGGTTTCAAGTTTTCTGAATCCATATAAGCAAGGTTCTACTACTATTTCTTCATTGATTTGTGCAATAATTGTATTGCTAAAATCTTGTTTATTTTTGGAAGGAGATTATTCCAGAATTATTCATCAATTATTAAACAACAATTTTATTGAGTTATTTATCATATATACATATATATTTTTTAAGATTTAGGAGGACACGTGAAGACCTAATGACTGGAATGTATAAGATTTTGGATCGAGTTAAAGCGCATAAGGATGCATGGCCCTTTCTTGACCCTGTAGATGAAGATTATGCCCCCAAGTATTATTCAGTGATTGCCAAACCAATGGATCTGCAAACTATGGAAGATAAGCTTGATAATGGTGAATATGGATCTTTACAGCAGTTCAAGGCTGATTTTCAATTAATCGTTGACAATTGCAGACAATATAATGGATCTGATAATGGTATGTACATACAGGACGTATGTATGTGTGTGTACGTGCATGTGTGCCTGTGTATTAACTTATACATAGTTTGTTTGTATGTGTTCTACAATGTGATCTGATCTACTTGCCAACAAAATGTAATATTAGGAATGATGAAAGGATATCGATTCCCTTACCTAAATGAGACCTTCCTTAGCTTTAATATACTTACATCTTTATGTAAGAAGATCTCACACTGGTCATTTCTTCATTTTTAATTAATCATATTATCAGAATATGAGTAAATTAGATTGTTTCAGCTTTAATAAGATTCGTTTTTTCTCAATTTGTGGCTCTTGTCATTCCATTGTGGGTAATTCTTAGGTATTGTACTCTTTCCACTTATGCGATTTTGAAATTGTTAAGCTAGCGGTAGTATATGTTTTATGTCTTGATGAGATTTTTTCATAATTTAGTCGTCTTCAAAAGTTTGCATCAGTTCTATAACTCTTGACACTGGTGTAAGTTCTATGATAGCTGTTTACTGTTTAGAGGATCAGTAGGAAGGAGGAGCTGGAAGAAAGAAAGAAGGCCAGGGATGGTTGGTGACCACCAGACCATAAGGAGGGCAAACAAGGTGATGGTCTTAGATTGGTTGGAAACTACCTGTGTTGTACGAATTCATGTACTCCTAGAGGTCCTTCTGATGTAGGAAATTATGATAATTATTTATTTAATGGTGCAGAGCTCAAAGATCTTACATTTGGGAGCCATCAAATTCTCCTGAAGGTTGACCACAATTTGTACAATTTTCTGTTGTCTGTACAGGATGAAGTTTTATCAAATTACAATGTGTTTAGTGTCACCATATTGTTGGACTTAGTTCAACAAGGAATTTTTTTTCATATGGTTTCTCAATATTCAACATTAGTAATGTATAAAATCAATATTTTTTTCAGAAAACGTCCAGAAAAATATATAGGCAAGAGACTGATTCTTGAATGAGGATAAAACATTTATTGCCATTCCTTAGTATTATTGCCACATAGATATCACGTGGTTCTTATGTTTTATTTTTATTCTTTGACGTGTGTTGTGGAAATAAGAAAATATAAAATTTTGCTACTTGCAGTATTAAGCCTAAAGGAGTTTTAATTTTTTGTTTTTTCTCAAAATTCATAGCTTGGCGTTTAGGATCAGTAAGCGCGGTCAGTAATCATTGACCTGGCGAAGAGGCTAAGTATGTACATGGGTTAGACTTTTCTTTTTAAGAATTAAATGAGAGGCTTAATTATAAGAGACTCCAAAGTAATTCTCTTTTATATACCATAGATCCTCGAGTTTAGGAAGTACTAGACTAGAGGCTATCGACCTTTTGATTCAACGGTAGGACTTAAAGCTAGTGCCATTTTAAATTCCAAATAAACCCCAACTGAACACTCAACTTCGGTCAGTCTGTTGAAAGCCGTTTCTTTCAACCAACTGACCAAAGTTGGAGGTTCAGAAGAGGTTTATCAAGAATTTAAAATGGTCACTAGCTTTAAGTCCTTTTGTTTAAATCAAATGGTCGCTAGCTCCTAGTCTATACATAGAATTGTTCACTCAAAGATAGTCTTCCAAAATAAAATATTGTTGCTTTTATCTTCATGGGTAAGCTTTATATTTGAGTAGACCATAATTTTTTAAATGTAAACTTTAAAATCCTCAAACTTCACTTACACCTTAATATTTTCTTTTAGTTTAAAAAAGTTTGTTACTAACTGTAACCATCAGGAGCAGTTGACTTTTAACATCAATATTTATTTATAAATTTTACATTAAGGTTTCCATAAATTAATTATTGCTACTTCCAGAGTACACAGAAATGGTGAGAAGACTCCAGGAAGCTTTTGAAGCTTCTGCTGAACGGTACTTGGATGCTGACCACTCAAGTTCAGATGATGACATGCCTCCAATGATTCGTCATAATGTTGTTATGACCAGTGATAGTTCCAGTTCCCAATTAGATAGACCTCTGAGGTAAGTTTTTTTATGTATCATTTGGTGTTGACTATAACTTGTGATTAATGGGGTGCTATCCTTAATTGGCTAAGTTGGGAATCTGATATTAAAGCTGATTTGCACATTTCTAGAACACCAAAAACGAGTTTCCCTTTGTTTTTAAATGTGTGAATGTGACTTACATTTCAATGAAATAATGTATACTGGTCTGGTTATCATCTATAATGATCTCCAAAGAACCTGGTATGTTGGTCGGTTGTTATAGCCAATCATTGTTATAACTAATTTATAAAATATATATGTCATGTAACGGAGATAGTTTTTGAATTATAGTTACATCAATGAAAAACATACACTTAATAAACCCAAGCACATATCCATAAAAAAAAATACATGTTTTTTTCCCATCTAATGATCAAATAATATTGGTGGGTTTTTAGTTTAAATAGATCTATTACAATGTAAAACAAATAATTGTTTTGGATGCAAATAAATTGAAAATAAAACTTCCAAGCTTTAAATTAGATGTTAAAAGTAGCCTATTATGTATTGTTCGTTTATTGCAGAAAGTTACTATGTGCATTTTTGATACAGGTTAACTTTCAAATATATTTTTGTGGATTTTGACCTTGTTTGTTTATACAAAAACACTGTAACTGGACAAAAATCCTTTTATTTATCATATATAGTTACACTAACCGCACAAATTTTTCTGAAATACATCAAAGTTCTTAATTATTTGAGGTTATGAAATGTCACTTAATGACTTTTTGCAATAAACTGAACATATCAATAATCAATAATAATTTAAATTTACTCTTTAAAACTCCATGTTTTAATAACCTTTAAAGTTTAAAGAAATATACAAATCCTGCAACCATTTTATTTCAAGATTTGTTTATTTCTTTTCATGAACCAGAATCAGTCTTGTTCGAGCCACCAAATTGATTTGAAATAAAATAGATTAGATAATACGACACATTTCTCTTTTCTCTGAGGCCAAAAAAATTTTCAGTTGGTTGAATGAATAAAAAATCATCTTTTTAACTTGTTTATTATTTTAACTTCTTTTTTTACTCGAAAAGAAAAATTTTATTTTTGAAAAACAGGAAATAATATTACTGTAGCCGTATTGTACATTCATCTAGAAAGTACAGTCTGTGTACTATGTCGTGTATTTTGGAGATTACTCTTCGTAACAGTTCTTTTAACTTTTTCCATTATTACATTGAACACAATTTTACAGTGGCCTATTGCTTGAATGGATGAACTTCCTTTAATCTCTTTATAATTAAGTAATATAGTTCCTGTTCTGTTTACTGCAGAACTGGACTGATAAAAACGCTGACAAGGATAATCTATCTTGACATGGCCTGGTTTCTTGATTTTCGTTTTGTGTTACATTATATTATCAGTACATTATATTACAGAATATGGTCAATTCATATTTTTTGTAATATAGGAACTTTTTTTCCTACCACCAGAAAAAATGGTAGTTATTTTTTAAGCATAAAAATTAATCTGCTAAAAAATTTGGTGTTCAATCCTACTTCCTATCATTACTGATAGAACTCGTTTATAATGTTATATAACTTCTTAGTGGAGGGTGTTTTTCCTAAATATTTGTCTGTTATACAACAATTATAATAAATTATCAATAACTTAATTTTTAATTTTTTTTAGCCGCAGTTCTTCTCACGAGAGCAGTTTAGATAACGACAGTGACCCAAAAGATTCATTAATTAAAAGGGATTTGAAAGAACAGAGTATTCTCAATAGGGATAACAAAGTAGACAAAAGTAGATTTAGAAGAAAACAAAAACGGAAGAAGAAAAGTTCTAAAGTTTCCAGCATTGAAGAGGACGATTCCAGCGAGGAAGAGTTTGCTGACAAGAAACGGATTAGCAGAAGTCAGGATGTGAGCAGTGATGGATTTGATGTAAAAACTAGCAGTAGTAGAGATTCTAGTAAAGATAGATCAAAAAATATCAGTAAATCAATAAAAAATAGAAGTAGAAACAGATTTAGAGTAAAACGGAAAGGTGTTCAAAAAAAAGAAATAGACAAGGATAAGCGTAGCACTGATGGTTCAAGTAGTGAAATCAGTAAGTCGTGTCCTGTTGACTCCAGTCGAGAAACAAGTAAAGAAAGAAGTCGAGATCGAGTGAGGGTCAACTACAAAGAAAGGGAAACTAGTGAAAGTGAGATTTTCACTGATTCCTCTGATGATAGCCAATTCGATAATAAATTAAAAACAAAAACTTCTCCAAAAAAACCTGTCAAACGGGCAGGTATTATTAAGAATGTTGAAGCCATCGAAGCATTAGAATTGGCGACTGAACAAACTCTCAAGGTGATTAGCAATTTTCTATCATATTCAATTACTTATAAATTCAGTGGTATATTATTTTAATTTATTATTTTTTCTTTATGGTAAAAGTTCAATGGAGTGAAAATTCATTTAGATGAATATGGGGATTCATTGATTGTTTCCTTTTGCACTACCTATTTAAAATGTATCAAGATTTAACTTTCTTGAATTCTCAATCTCCTATTTATTTTTAATTTGTAAAAAGCTTAAACAGTTATTGTAAAATTCTTTGGAATCAATGTGCTTAATTGGTATTTTTTTTTTATTAAACAGTTTTGATTGTAATTCTTCTTATGAAAAATTATAAGTTCAAAACAAAATGAAAGTTCGTCTAGAATCCAAAGAGTATCACAGGAATGTGGAATTGTCCATATTTTAAGAACTTTTCCCACCATATCCCCATCTGTAGATTATTCTGTATGATTTTTGGAAAAATTATTAAGATGAGACGCTCTTTTGTTTAATTTAAATACCAGGATCATAGTGCTTATATTATTAGTAATGCCATTATTAACAAGTAAATGAATAAGTCATTACTAATAATTGCAGCGTGGACCATTTTGTTGATGACTCATTTGTAGGTTGCATGAAGTTTGCTTAGTTATACTTGTTTATCTTAGTTAGAAAAGGATTACTGTAGTAAATACATTTATTATTAGGATGTTATTGTTTGAAAAAATATTATTTGGTAATATTTTATTATTGTTTACAGTGGATTATGTTGATCATAGAATTATATGATATGAATGTTCCATTTGTTGTGATTCTTGATTTACTTTGTATTTATAAAAGAATTAAGGTTCTTAAAAACTATTCAATTATTTTTACTGTAATTAATTATATTATTTAACAAATTGTGACAAAATTACAAACTTCTAATAATCTACATTTTTTTTTACTACTCTAGGTGCATTTCTTAATATCTTAGCATAAAAGTGATTAGGTATTTATTACTTGCTTGGGTTTTATATATATATTGAATTTTTTAGGACATTAATAAGTGGTTGGATGATACTCCAAGGTTTTCTGACTTTTCTTCTTGTTCTAATTCCCCTTTACATATGCCTTACATAGAAGACATGGCTAGTATCGAAGGTGAATATAGAAGGAGGTTGATGATGGATCGGCCAATGCGCCCTCGAGATAGATTTTCTAATGTAAGTATACAATGTAAATTTTGAATTCTTAAGACTTAAATTTCATATTTCTTATAAATAAAAAGAGAGAGATCATATAAAAGATAAGTTATTTATATTGAAAGTATTTTATCACACATACAAGAAATTTGGTGAATTTTAGGCATAGAAAGGCCACCACATACATGCCTCAGTTGGAAATCTTATCTAATTAGATTTACCTAATTTGCAAGTTCTTATATTCGAAAAATATTTACATTACTCTATAAATATACGTTTTTGTCTGCAAGAACAAACAAACATATTTTCAGATAAATCAAGTAAATTAGCTATGTTCTAAGATTTTATTAGTCTGTTCATAAAAGTATGTTACAACTAGTATGCCTCCCCTAAGTTAGGAGGTATGGTCTAACCAGCCATAGTGGGAGGTTAGATTTTACTATTTTCATTTAAATAACAAATCAATTTATGTGCTTGTTATTTTATTCCTTTATTTCCTCTAAAAGTGTATCATAATATGTGTGTGTGTATGAAGGGTACAGAGGAAAAACTCTGTCAGTCAAAACGCTAATTTTGAGAAAAGCAGGTTTGAATGTTTTGCATTCCATAGAGGCTCGAAAAATGAACAAAAAGAAACCCAATAATCAATAATCAAATTAAATCAGTAACTTAGATTTTTACAATTAAAATGTTTATAAATAACATTTTTACAAAAAAAATATTGTAAAAAATTAAATATATGTCATAAAAAGCAGATGATATTAACCTTGATAAAAAAACATAGTATTTTATTTTTTAATCTTTAAGTAATATTATCTGCTTTTTATGTCAATATGGCTAATTTTCTCAACTCACTACAATTCCTCGTCAATCAGGGAGTCATCATCAGGATTTGAGTTTATCTGCTCAAGTGCTTTAAATGAATCGCATGTACTGCACTTGTACCTTAAATGGGTAGCCAAATGAAAAATTGAAATAATTTTCAAAAATTCCACAAAATGATTCTTAGAACAGTTTATGTTCTAGATTGTGAAATAATAAATACATGGTGTGTAGCTTTGAAATATTCAACTCAGCGGACAGGTATATTTTTTTTGTCTTTTAATGAATAATGTGATTTTCTTCCTTTAAGAGATTTCAATGAATTACTTTTTCTGTGGTCTGATATGAAAGTTTTTGGGGTCTAGTGGAATGTTTTCCACTACGGTCATTAGGAGATGTACCTGTAGCAAGAAGAGTCCCTCTTATGTACCTAACTTATCTTCGCTTATACCATGTAGCAACATGAATTCTTTTAAACATACCTGAACATCACATGAAACATTGTCTTTTTATCACACGAACTCTATATGAAAATGAAGCTATGTTGTGTCTAGAGTCATCATTTCTTGGTCGTCTTTGCTTCACCGGTAACAAAGTGATGAGGCCACTCAAATAAGAATTTTGTTATTTCAGGAACATTTTGAAAACATTCAAGCTGTTTGCAAAAACAGTTCGGGCCAAGCTCATGACTCTACCTGTTTTTTTCCCGTTTTTTGCTTGTGGTTTTATTGAAAAATCCATCACTTTCACTGCCACTACCAGAGTAGTCACTTTCCTTTATTTTGAAACCCACTAACACAAAGAAACTAACAGAGGAATAGATCAAAACAACACACAAGACAATACCAAAAACAAAACAATTAAAAGAGATGACAGATTGCAAAATGGCCACTAAGAGCCCCATGTTAATGACTCCCTGGGTTTTCCCCCACTCGCACAATGACTGGCGGGATTTTTCCTCAGTACCGCCTATTTTGAAACAAATATTTCAGCTTACTTATGGGGTTTCGTATTAAAAATGTCCCCACTCACAATGACTGGCAGGATTTTTCCCTAGTACCGCTTATTTTGAAACAAATATTTCAGCTGACTTATGGAGTTTTGTATTAAAAATGACTATTCGAAAACTTTACTTCAGCAACCACTGGCTGGCACCATTATTCCGTTTCCTTAAAAAAACCGACTGACGGAGTTTTTCCCCTGCACCTATCATATTTATATCTAATTGTTTATTAAAAAAAAAATAGCAGTCTTAAATGCATTGTAAACATGTTTACATTATGATCTGGTAATTTTGCTGATTATTATGTACTAATTGCGATAAATATCAAAATGTACAATTTTTAATAAAAGCATTCGGGGGGGGGGGAGGGGGAAATGTACCAAAAGAAATAAATAAACAACTTTACTTTTTAGAGGATTTAATTTTGTTAAGGTCTTGTTATGCAGCTGACTATTCTGGCTAATTATTTTCAATCAGAAGTGCTTTAAAAAAAAAGAAGAAATTAATAAAATATATAATATGTGTGCTTAAGACCACATGATAGAAGTGAAAACATCAACAAAGCGGACTTAAAAATATGAAATATAAATATTTTTTGATATTCATTCATAAAGCAATAACATTTACAATACATACCATTATAATTTTGTTTAAATTACTCTAGTAAACTTTGCTCCGACTGATCATACTAAGTAAGTATTATACTCTAAAAATTAAACAATAGGTTTATGATTACTAAAATATGTGATGATCATAGATTCTCATTATTTTAGTATGATTCGTCATATTTAATATGACAATATTTAGAATGGAATTTGTTCTTATTATATGGTTGACACTATATTTTTTTTTTGTCACTATATTTTTCCCTTTTTGTCTCTCTAACATGGAGTCGCGTTAAGATACGATTTTGAATAATAGCCCATTACAGATAGGATATGCTGAACAATTCCCTCGCTTACAGTATGCAGTTCCGATTTTAGTTTTTGAGATATTTTAATCCATATGCAAAAACACTTCAATTAGTCAACTTTACCCAAGCTTTACACATAGCAAATCTGACGGTTCAATCTAATTCTCTCCACAAAAAAGTTCAAAAAGAAGTTTTCATTTTTAAAAAAACACCCTCTTCACTCAAAATCTGATGTTTTACCTTCAAGTTTTTTAAATGTTCACAAGCATTTATCAAAATCTGTCATCCATTGTAGATTTCTTTTTTTTTTCAACCCTACTGGTCTGATAGGTAATACCAGTATTTGCAGGAGGAGGATGTCATGTATGCCTGCTTTACAACACACTGCTTCTATTAAAACTTACTATTTTTCTTGAATTGCGCACCCAGCTTCTATTTCTTCCCTTAGGTATAAACATTGTTTTATTTAGCTCTTCTGTTTGGCGGTCTTTTTGATTCAGAGCCTTCTCTACTTCCCAAGAAGTGGGTTGGACCTATAATTGTCTTCCACTCTTACTAAAAGTCCGATTAGTTTTCCTCACTCATTAGCTGAAATCACTTTAATAACCTTAGCTCATTGTTCAGTCCATATTGGGATTTTTCAGAGGGAATATATCTGATGAGTATATGAACGTGTTTGTTTAGTCTTACTTTTTCCTTACTTGATTTTGATTAGTAATTATATTTTTAAATTCTTTTTTTTTTTTTTCAATACTTTCCTTTTAATTTTAGGATCTTCATAGGAGGCGTATGTTTAAAGAACAAATGGGTTTGAAAAGGAGGAGAGAAATACAGAGGACAATTGATAGACTGCAACCAGGAAAGAGCAAAGGAAACCTGCTATCTAAGGAAAATCATCTTAATCATCACATTGATGGTTCTGGTATAGAAACTAAAAGTCAATCTAATGAAAATGATGAAAATGCACCAAAAATTAGTTTAGGTAAAGTTCTTCCCAGTGATTTATTAAGCTTTGGTATTGGTGAGTCAGCAAAGAAGGATTCAGAAGATGAATGTACAGAAGATAAACTTGTTATTGAAGAGCACACTGAAAATAAAGAAGAAAAACCCAAAGTTGAGACCGAAGATGATGTTAAGAACTCACCTCCAAATGAAACAGAAAAAAAAGTGACTGCAGATAATGAACAAAAAAAGGAAAAGCCAACACCAAATTTGAGTGCTTGGTTCAAAGCTTTTGGCGCACCTAAAGCTCAGCCAACTACCAAAAAGAAAGCAGAACCTGAAGAAAAGAAAGATGATGAGGCCGAAGAAGATAAAAGAACTATTGAGATACAGTCACCTGCTCGTCGGCAGCGAAAAGCTAGCACTGGAAGCAGTGTTTCAGAAAGGTCTTCTTTCAGTATTGAGCCAGTTGATGGTAATTCGCCTAGAAGGAGCCTGGATGAACCTTATGTTTCTCCTCAGCAAGACTTGAAAACTTATCATCACCCACCAATTAATGGAACTATTAAAGTTGGTTTTTACCAAGATACTTGTTTTCCAAGAGGATCTTCCGATAAAAGTTCTTCTCCGAGAGATCCTACAGGTTGTTCTCCCCGAGATGTACCCAGTGTGAGTCCTAGGAATCCAGCATTCAGCCCTCGTGAATACCAAAATGTTAGTCCTCAAACTCCTTTTTGCAGTCCTTGCAATCCTCCTCTTAGTCCAAGTCCTAGAGAATTTATTGGTAGCCCTAGAGATATTCCTCCAAATGCCAGTCCTAGGGATTATCATAATAGTCCCAGAGAACTTATTACACACTCGCGGGAATATAGTAGTATGAGTCCCAGAAATACAAACAGTCCTAAAGATCATACTTCAATTACTTCTTATCCTGTACCTCATTCATCTCATAATACTCCTATTTATTCCCACTATCCATCACATCTATCATATTATGATACTAATAAGCCTATAGAGTACAGGACTTCAGAAAAAAATATGTCAGTTTACCCTGTGAAGAAACGAGCATATAATGAAATTGATAATAATATTTCAAAAGCAAATGATGTTTCTGTTTACAAAGGTGGAGGCTCATTTACTCCTACACGAGGAGCCATGGAACAAGAGAGGACGTTTACTCCTACCCCAGGTAGAATGCCTGGTCCTTCTCAAGGACTTAGAGTTCCAGATCCTACAATGCCTATGGGCCTTGCCCATCCTCTCCATTATGATCCATATGCTGATGAAAGGCGCATTGCTTCACCATTTTATGCCGGAAATCAGCCTTCTTCTCCTCATCCAATTTTTTCTCAATCTTCTACTGTTTTGTCTGCTAATTTTAGAAGGGAGCCGACAAGTGTACAGGAGGGCTATGACAGGCAGAACGATTGTGAATTGCCTGCTTATCATTCGTCTAGGAGCAACACTCCTACTTACCCTGGATCACCTCATTCTGATCCTCAAAGAACTAAAACTCCTATTTCTACCTTTCCTAATAGGTCAGCCACACCAGTTCATCATCAATCTCCAGATGCTTCACCTATTAATTATTCAAATGCTAATACAGATGGTTCTAATAAAGAAATTTCATCATCGCCTAGAATATTGAATTGTTCTGACAATGTAAATAAATCAACTTCTCCTTACAATAAATCAGATAATTCTGGAAGCAAAACTAATCCTGCATCGCCCATATCTTTTGCAAGTAGTAGGTTAGGTGAAGTTCTTCCTTCAAAAGTAACAAATGCATACAACAGAGCCTTATCAGATTTACCTCATGGGCTCAATTATAATCATGGACAAGACCTTAGTAAAATTAGTGTTCCATTAAGTTATAGTAATCAGTCTGATCTCTTGTCCTCTAAAATGAATTATAATCACCCCATGGCAGATTTGATCCAATCTTCTGCCAGGTACAATTATCCAATGTCTGAACTAATTCAAGGAAAAACTAGTGTTTACAATCATCCAATACAAGATTTTATGCAAGGAAAAGCAGCTTCATATCCCAACATGAATTTGAGTGGATATAATAGACCTATCAGTGAGCTAATGCAAAGTAAAGTAAATGATCTCCAAGCTAGGGAAATGGTTTTCTCACCCAGATCTGTTCCCGCTGCTCAAAAATCCGAATCCTCTACAAAACCTGGTAAAAAGAGCAGGAAAAAGAAAAATGACACATCTTCAGGTTTTCAACAGTATGTAGCAGGTTCTTCTGAACCTATAGCATTAAAAAGTAATAATAGTGTTCCTGGAAGTGCCTTTAATTTTGGTCCTCCTCTTAAAGATAGTTATGGCCCATTTTTAGATGAAATAAGGTCTTCTTTCTTTGTTTCTCATCCTGAAGGAGGTTCAGGTAAAGGAACACCTCATACATCTCCTTATTATTTAAGCCATGCTTCAGCCCGAACCCCGCCTACTTATCCCCATCCTTTTATGAATGCTCAATATCAGCAGTATTTACAGAGGCATCCCGAGGAACTGTTGAGGCCCATGATGCTTCATCAAGGCCTCCTCCCCCCTACAGCTGGTTATCCTCATGCCTATCTTGGTATGCATGATTCAATAAACCGACCTGCTTGGTTATGAGGTCGGTTGTTTTGTTATCGTTTAGTTAGTGGAAATCATAATTTTTACATGCCTGTCTAAGTATAGTACAAAATCCTATGCATTAATGGTCATCATTCCACATCACTATATCTTTAGCTAACTGTTTACATCTGTTATTTTGTAAAGAGTTCGTTAAAATGATAAAAATGGTCTATTTTAATTAATTATGAAGTATTCTTATTGATGACTGTTATAAGAGTATTTCAAATGGGTATTAAGTTGATAATTATTACAAATGCCTTATTATAATCTGTAAGTATAAGCTGAGGAATGGGAGAACCTGTCGCATTTTAGGTTCATTAACCAATACCATTTCATGGTGAGGATTCGTTTATGGTATGTAAATAGAATTTAGAGCCAAAGATATGTCTTATATTTGGACCAATAATTGTAAATACTTCACCATAGCAAACTAATACTAATGTATAGAGTGTTGTATATTTCTATGTTTTGTTGATTTTGTTTGTAAATTATTAAAGTGTATATATTATACATAAATATATTAATAATTTGTGTTCTAAATATTATATATATACATATATATAAATATGTACAGTAAATTATATAGTTAACCGAGTGAGTAGTGCTGCATAGATTTTATTTTATTGCGTGTTTGTTATATCTGTAATTTTAAATGACTAAAGCTTTAATAAAATATCAAACAAATAAAATTTTATATGTTTCATTTTATAACAAAGAAATCGTTATAGTATTGTGAAGAATTAAAATCGCTCTATGTTATGATTAAAAGTTAAATTTTCTTTTAAAAAAGGAAATATTAATGTTAAAAAACATATCAGTTAATTATCTTATCTATTTAAAATTACTATTGTTTTTATTGCTCCTTCATCGAAAACAAGTCAACAGTACATTGATTCTTAATTTGTGTCAAAGATTACTTTCATCACCTTCACACCAGTGGAATATTAAAACAATAGTAATCATGTGCATTTGCAAAAAGTTTTCTATAGAATTAAAAGAAAAAGAGAATCACACATACACATAGAGCCTTTTAGTGATATTCTGGGTTGTTTAACCTGGGCCTTACTTTGTTTATATGTAAAAATGAAATGATTCTGAAGTAATTAAGTTTTTGCCTGCTGTCCTCACATCATTTAAATTTATCATTAATGTTATTTTATGTCATATTGTTTATTTTGAAAACATTTTTATCAGAGTTTTTTTTTTATTGTTTCATAAAAAATATATTTTTATTGATATTATTTAAATTATATTATTTATCCCTCAAAGGGATTTTAGGGAGCAGAGTAAAGTAAATTTTAGATTTATTTTATTAATTTCTTTTTAAATTAATGTTAATGCACCAAGAACACCTTTTAAATAGAATATTATTTTATCAGAATTATCTTACTTTTCCCTTAATTGGTTTTCAACTTTTAATTTGTTTATAATGCTCGACTCATTACTTTTCAGTATATTTAATTTTAGAATCACTTCATTCATTTATCTCATTTCTTCATGTATTCTACACTTAACAGTTTATTAATTGTCAATTTTTAGGTCAATTGTAATTTTATTTGAAACCGTTATTTATTAATCTTAAAATTGATAAAACTTAAAAGAACAAGACTGAATTGTTTTTAAACACTAGGTTTTTCTTTTCTTTTTCATTTTTAATTTTAGTGCAATATTGATATATTATTTGCAAGAAAATATTTATTTCTCTTTGCTTTTATAATTTTGCAAATTATTTTTTTCAGTAGTTCTTTTATTTTGTTATTTTTCTTAGTTTAAAGATTTTTTATACAGATGCTGTTAGTAAATACGTGTGTGTCAATAAATGTGTATGGTTTATACACACTTCACACTAATTATAACATGGCTCTCCATTGAATCATTATAAAATAAGAAAACTATATTTCAATGTATAAAGAAAAAAAAAGTTAAGTATTACAAAAATCAATAAAATTATATAAATTATTTTAAATATTTTTTTTTATATGTTCCTTATAAAACCTTTTTTTTTTTTAATCTTTAAATTACTTTTTATGAATATAAAGTGGTATAATTAAAACAATTTTCATTTATAGCCATTGATGTGCTGTGAGTGGGAGAGCTCAGAAAAGTTTTTCTTTTCTTTTTTCGATTATCCCATACTGGCGTAGGTCAAAATGGAGAGAGAGGGTTTTTTCTAGAGATAACAAAACCCATTCTAACCAGAGTGAGGTCAAAGCCTTATATCTGGGCCTTGCGTTCGAGTCTGATTGTGGCAAATAGTTATTGATTCTGTTACACCAGGTGTCGTTCAACCCTCCTAGGGAACACTCAGTCTCTATAAAGTGGGTACTCCAAATTAATTAAGCAGAAAAACCAGAGATTGAGCTTGATATCACATCACATCCTTGCATTACCGTTGACCAACAAAGCAATACTTTCTACAAAGTACCGAACCCAAGATCCTTCATGGGCTTCTTTAGTATTTCATGTCTAAAATAAAAAAAAAAAAAAAAACAATATGTTGCGGTTTCTATTCCATTAATCCTGGGAGGAGAGGGTTGAATATAATCACTCCAGATCTTTTTATTCCCTTGTGTCTAGCATCAATGAAAACATTCATTTCAAGAATAATTATATACAAGAAATGTTTAATTAGTCTTGATGATAATGAGCACAACTTGATGCATGGTTCCCCTTTGTTTTATTAATTTTTATTGAGCTTGTGAATAGAAACACAAAACATTTTTGTTTCTATCAACCTCATAAATTTTCACAACAAAAAATTAATTAATGATAATCATAATTAACAACTGTCAACAAAGTAAGTATCCGTCTATTCACCCCATAAATTTGCAAAAGAAACCAATCACTGCAAATCATAGTTAAAGACCTAGACTTCTATTAATATTTCTTAGAAACACCTTACAATTATCTGCACCCATTTAGCTTTCCTTAACAAAATTTCTGGTTTATTAACTAATCTTTTATGCTTTCCTTTTTTAAGGTAGCCATAAGTATTAAGGGAACTTAATAAATTTATTTCAATACCTATAAAGTTAGTCAGATTTAAATAAATAGTTGCTACAGATTCTTTAACAAAGGTCATAGTTATAAGCAAACTTTGATTTATGGTAACACTTGATTCGCTTCGGCGGTACATATACTAAAATTGGAATGATGGTAACACTTATGGATTAGTGTTAATTGACATGATATAGTGATTAAAAGAAATAAAAGTGTCCAAAATAAAACTCAGGGTGGTATATCTATTATTTATTAAGTAGATATCTGAAGATATGTAATGGGAGAAGATTCACTTCCTTGAATATAAGCTCCACCCACAAGGTTCTCCCTCAAGTTTTTTATTTACACCCACCATAACTCCATTTTTTATTGTCTTAAAATGTAAAAAATACATTAACAGTTTCAAGCATCTCTTTCATCATTTCTAGTTTCTGAGAATAACTAAGGAAGTAGAAAAATGGTGCTCACTGTATATTGTGATCATCTGAGAAGCATTATGCACATCTTGAAGAAGTTGGCAACCCATAGCTCCAAGAGGGCGGGGTGGCCAAATGGGCTAACGCATGTATACAGCACTGCGGCTCCAGTTCCAGTCCTTGCCCGGCAATCAGATACATATTGATAAAAATAAGCAGTTCATGCCCCAGTCTTCTAACTCTGCCATTAAGTCCCCTATACCATTATGCCCGGTATAACCTTAAAGGCGAAAAAGGAGAGAACACCAAAAAAAGAAAAAAAAAAGAAAGTCAACTTCAAATCTTTTCGATTCTAGATGAGAGTTGCTAACTTCTCAAATGATCACAATACATATAACTCATGAGGACAATTTTATAAGTTACTAAGTTATTTCTTGCGACAATAGATTTTTGCTTCAAATTTCTTTTAAAGATCCATATCTTTGAGTAAAAGGGATGTTATATTAGGATTTAATAATTATTCCAGGAATAAAAAAAGAATATTTTAAAAATAATTATCAAAATATGAAATGTTTTATTCAACTAACTGGTATTAATTTAATAGTACTGAAAAACATATTAAACAATTCACAAATTCTAATATACAATGTTAAAAAACTATCTATAATCATATTTAGCCAAACATCTACACTCGGATCACTAATTAAAAATGCATATCCGTTTAAAAATGATTTATATAATATTTGCCAGACTGTAACAGTGTATTGGGAAGCATATTTGATATTGTTAAGTAATCTGGTACTGAATTTATGCCAACTAAGACGAAACGATCCTGGTAAGTGAGCCACTGCTGATTGGGCATATTTATTCAACCTAAGCATTATTCTGTTATGTGTTGGTTCGTTTACCAGCTTCAATAACAGCAATGCTAATGTAAACACAACCAAGCAGTATATGACTGACCAAACCAAGCCGGAGATAACTTTCCTCACTGAAAATATTAATAAAAATGTAAGTATTACACAATATATCAATAACTCAATACTAATTCTATAAATTAAGAAATATGGTTTAGTGCAATACTTAAACAATGACATTTCACTACTCAAAGAATTTCTGATCTAAAGTAAGTATAAAATTATCAGGGAATCAGTCGAAATGACTTTTAATGTCAATGTTCGGTTCATCTTCCATATTTTAATTATATAATTAAAAAAATCCAAGAAAGAGTTAACATTGTAGTTATTTTAACTGATTGTTGGAATAAGTAAAGGTAAAAAGAAATATAGAATAAAAAATACAACAGGATCTAGATAGAAGTAGAAATAGAATAAAAAAAAAATATATATGCAATTATAATTTAAGTGATTATAAAAACTTTATCATTCATTCAAATACTGGTTAATTTTCTTTTAAACATTATTTAGTTCCTCTCGTGACATATATGGCACCTGCATGCTATGAACAAAGTGACGTCTCCAGAAAGAATGTATTTTTTTTTTTGTTACTGAATGGTCACTGGAGTTTCGGTTTAGAAACTAATAACTGAAATATCATGTTTTAAATTCAAAACCTGACTAGAGTCTAGCAGCGTGTTAAGGTGTCACTCTAGCAATTTATTTGTAAGGCCATTCAGTTTAGACATGTTACCTTGCAAAATGTTGGATAATTCAAATTTCATTTTTATATTGTTAAGGATGTAGTGAATATAAAAAATCCAAGTTTCTTCTCTTGAAAGCCTTGTGGGTTCACTAGAGTGCTCCAAAAATTAATGAAATTTTGAACTTTTTTTGGTTTATGCTAACTATCTGGCTTTTAGAGCAACATAAATAAAAAATGGTTTTATTCAATCCTTAACAGCTTAAAATGATCTAATTTTTCTAATTTAACTTTCTAAACCCAACAGGAAGTAAACTATTGAGCTTTCAAAATTTACCCATTTTGACTTCTTCACAATAGTGCTCTTTCAGTTTAGAACGGAAGAATTCTGTAATTCCATTTTGAACCTCGTTCAGAGAATTCTGAGGTTTTCCTTGAAGATAATGAGCCATTAATTGGAATGAAAGACGGTAATCGGGAGGTGTTCTGAAAAGTATATAACACGGTGAACAGGACCCATCTACCCTACACATCCCAACCCAATAAATTGCCTACAGTTATGTTTCTTGTAACTATTTATTAAAAAAAAGGCAATGTTCCAATGAAAAAAGTGACCACACTGTCTACAAATGGCGTTCAAACATAGCAAGTTGACGTCTTTGACTTGAGTTGATAATCACTGAGATTAGGCTTTTGGGTTAGTTGGCCTTTTATTAAAGCTGGATAGATAGAGAATAAAATAAAACATGAAAAAATATTTAAAAATAATTGGCCTAAGCAATATAAAACAAACATTAAGTAAATTTTTTCAAGCCGTTCAAACTAAAGCTGAAAATGAAGCGTCTTTTCTAAATAAATTGCCAACAATAACGAAAAACACCCTGACATAAAATATCTGGAGAATACATTTCTATTTCTAAAACAGTGATCACTTAGGACTGGAACTTGTTTGCTTTTTGAAACTACAGATCAATGGTTCAGCAAATCAACTTTATTTAATACCTCAAGGAAACTATGAGATAATTAAGACCTAATATACCTACCACATACTAGAAAACTTTCTAAATTTTGAATTATCTTGAGATCATCAAGCAAGTTTAGCCAGGGTGAGAAAGCTGACACAAAATTAATGAAACCTAAATAAACAGAGTGTCCTTACTAACAGAAGTGGAACAGACAACATAATATTATAAGAGCTAAACATTAAAATCTTCACAGATTTATAAACAGACTAGATACAAATAAATGGGTATTAGTTCACAAGAGTTCCACACGGATTACGTGTGGTTCACAATCACTTCAATCACACTTGTTCATGGAATCCTGAAAACAGCCGAATGTTGTCTTTTATGACGTCATCTATCCACAATCCCTTTTCATGTCTTTTTGAAAAAAAAAAAGTATTCTTTTCATGGAACTTCCTTATTAACACTTTATTAATGAATTGTGTATTTACTAATTAGTGAATTATTAATTTTTATTACAATGGTTATCACTGTGAAAGAACAAGAAAAAAATACATAAAATAATGTTTGAGTCGTTTCTTCAAGGCCTGTTAAAAAAAAAAATACTTTTAGTAATAACATTTTTATTGACACGTGTTTACATGTAGTGGCTGTAAATACGCATAAACTGTATTTTATCTTTTATAACTGTGTATAAAAGATTTTTTATCATTTGGATAATAAATAATTTGAAGTTATCTATTATCTTTTTATTTGTTATTAGAGTTTTAAAATAGAATTTGGCATAATTGAATTTATAATTTATTTTAGCAAGCTTTTTTTAGAATTGCACAATTGTCTATCTAGTTTATGTAATTTTTTAGATTTCTAATAATACGAGGGTCCACTATTTTCTAGTGGGGGAGTGGGGCGCTTTGTATGTATATACTGTCTGATTTGAGATTGAGCATCAAGTTTATTTAACTTTTTTGAATTCTTAAATATATGGATCCACTATTTTCTAGTCAACAGAGCTTTTTATGAATATACTGTCGGATTTAAAATTGTTCGTCGATTTTTTGTAGATTTTTGGATTTCTTAGATATAAGACTCTACTATTAAGTTTTCAAGGATGCTTTTTATGAAAATAATGTCAGATTAAAGATTGCACGATAAAAGTGAACAAAATTAATAAATAAAATGTATCTATCAATCGTTATATAGATAAATATTTATTCCAAAAATGTCAAATCCCAATGAGACTCGTAAATTTGCCAGTTAGTTAACTGTTAACTTAAAATTTATTTTTTTGTTTAATCGCTATTATTTTTATTGAATGAATTAGCTGTGTAATTATTGTTATTCGCAGTTATTTTTCTTGGTAACCCGAAAATGGGAATTATTGTAGTCATCGGTACAAAAAAAAAATTTGTGTTTATTTTCGAGAAAGGAATTAACGTATTGGGGAAACAACTGACGAAGAATATCTGATAATTCCAAGATAATGAATAATGGAAATCATCAATGAGAAAAATTATATTGTGAAATAGCATTTAGAGATGTAATAATTAAAGTTTTTATCTATTATTATTTCTTTTTTATAGATCCATAATATTTGTACACGTTCAATTCAGGTTTCATGATGTGTAACCTAAATTTTGAATGTAAGTCGGCTCCTGCTATATAACTGAACATGGTTAAGGTTATAGAAGTACTTATAGCGGGAAAGTTAATAGTAACTGGACCAAGATATCGGTCGCCTTCGTTCTCTTTCGGATAAACCCGAACGCATTTGGGATTCCATGAACAAGTGTGACCGAAGTGATTGTGACCATGCGTAATCAGTGCGGATCTCTTGTGAACTAATACCAATAAATGTTAAGTAACGAGGATTAAAAAGAAAATTGAAGACTTTTAGCCTTACTGAATATCTAACATAAATATCTGATACACACTGTAATGTCTTAATATTTACAAATATAACTGTAAATACACATATTAAAATAAAGTTCATTAAGAAATTCATAAAATTTATTGCATACAATACTCATTCTTTAATTAATAATAATCATAACAGCTGAAGTTACCTAAAACTCTTCGATGACACAAGCAACAAATATCTCGTTCAATTAAAGCAATAAATACATGGGCTGGTCTAGTGTTGACTTATACTTATGGTATTTTAAAGTGGTCCAACACAAAGCTAGAGGAAATGAATCGTTAAGTAATAGTTCTTTTTACCTCTGCTAGCAAACAACATCCCAAATCTTCAATTGAAAGGATGTACTTGCCTCAAAGAGGAGGAAGGGGTTTGTTTGTTTATTAAGAACCTGGAATGAGCAAGGAAATAATTTAAGATGCACTTGTCTACACTGCAATTCTCCTGTATGGTCAGCAATAAACACACCAGATGAAGGCTACACATCTTAAACTTGGTTTCTATAAAGATGTCTGTACAGAAGAAATTCTGATTGAAAGTTGAAAAATAAAGCATTACATGGTCACTTTTACAATGGTATACCAGTTCCTTATTATCAGAATGAGCCCAAACCGATACTTTCAAGAGAAAAAAACACATTATTTTGGGACTGTTCTATAATTACAGACCATATGGAGTTAAAAAATAAACTGGGCATAGTATCAATTGAGTGAAAGACAAAAAGTGGCTATATCATTGATATTGCATTCCCTAACGATGATTATGTCTCAAAGATGATGTCAGAGAAGATAAGAAAATATCAAGATTTGTGACAGGAGCTTCAGCAACTTTATAGAATAGATCATACAAAGGTGTATCCGATAGTAATTTCTAGCAATGGCCTCATTCCTGGCGATACCATCCGCTCTATTGGCAATTCGAAGCTGCCAGAAAAAGTATTGGAAGAAGGGAAGAAAGCAGTTCTCCTCAGCACAGTGAACCTCATCAGAAAATGTTTAAACATAGTTTGATATTTGAGCATAACCCTTGACCCTGGTCCAGATGGGTGAATATTTCTGGCAATAGACAAGAAAATATGAAATTCTAAAGTAATAATAAAAAATCGGTGCTTACATTTTCCTCCAATAGTACTTTGAATATTATTTTTGACATGGAGTTCATTATGTTCTGCACTTTCTGGTATATAAGTTTCAACTTCAGAAATGGAACCATTTTCAATAACATCTTTAGGACTAACTTCTGCTAGTTTAGCAGCATTTTTCCTTTTTTTCTTCTCTTTCTGTTTCTCTTTCTTTTTGGCCTGTTCTTTTATTTCATTTTCCTCTATAAAGAAAAATATATTAATTGAGTACCTTATACTCCTAAGTATATATAATATACTGAGTCCTTAGAACAGATAATTGAATAAAAATAAAGTAAACTCAGAACAATAAATAAAATAATAAAATATGAGAATAAATTAAATAAATAATGTGAATGCAATATTGGCGATAGTCTTATAAATGAGATGAATAATCCCCTTTATAACAAATAATATAGTTTATTACATATCGCATTCAGTGTGCCTCAGACTTAAAATCTAGGATATGGCATGACTCATAGGTTTTCCTTCTAATAATCAATTTCAATGGAGTAAGGAGGTTTAGTTTAGTATTTTCCAAAATAGGAGAGAAGATATAATTATAGAAAAAACTAAAAAAATTCTAAGCACCAATGAGTTAAAAGTAGTTTTCTCAGGGAGTGGTATAAAACTATTAAGAATTCAATAATTCTAAACTTGGTCGTCACAGCCCAGGTAAACAATAGAGGAATTGCCAATAATGCGTCAACCATTCGTCAAGAATTGGAAGCGTAATTGTTTTGATGCAGTTGTGTTGTTCAGGTGTAAAACCCTGAGATCATCAAGGTCTATAAATGATGCAGGTGTGTTTTAAGCATTTTGCAGTATAGTATTCAAATCAACAAGTATTCGTTTTGCTAGTTTGATGGAGGATTCACAAATTCATTTAAATTAAAATAGAACTATTTTAACAAATTAGAACTAAAGATATAAAATAAAAATGAGTTAGAAGTTTTTTTTAAGTTTTAGTTTTAAAAGGAATGAAATGTAAAAGCTGTTGATGTCGGTTGGAAGAGCAGTAATTGAGCTTTTTTCCGTTAATACAAAATTTTATATTAAAGTTGAGTTTTAAGAAAACTCTGAGGGGTTATGAATACTTTAGTTGACAGCCGAAAAAAAATCATCCTAGAAAATCAAGTACAAAAGGTTGTATTTTTTTACTTTCACTTACTTATATATGTAATATATAGTAAGGGAAGGTACTGCTATCATGAACATTTTCAAATCCAAGTTTTCAATGGAAACACACATTTTGATTTATTTATAAATATAATAAATGAAGAAAATTTCTTGGTTAACTGAAGGCGAAATAAGGGTTGGAAGCTTTACGGAAACAGACAAGAACGCCCGACCTTGGCCGATCCTCTCTCTTTATAGATAACCGATACACTTCTACACAGGGCTTTTATATTGTTAGTATAGCTTTTATATATGACTTATCCATAAGTTTCTAAAAATGTTTTCACACAAAATGTGGAGAATCTACTAATATAAACCTAGTAATATATAGTATTTACTAACGTTATTTTTTCGACAAGATTCGTGATAAATGTTTCCATTAAAACTCATAATTTTTCCAAAAGATCAATCTTTACCCATTATCATTAATCTTGTTTGATACTATACATCGTAAAAGGAAATGGAAAGTAATTCTAACATAAATTTAATAAATTCAATGAGTGAGAAAAACATAGTAATTAATTGTTTTAAATGAAGTTATACTGCTTCGATTTTTACTTCTCTATACATGAAAAAACTTACGTGCTCTAAGATTGGTAAATAAAAGTTATGTGATGCACACACCGCACAAGATTTATATCCTAAAATACCTAACATTGGGAGTTAGATATGCCCAATCATTTTAATGCGACAGCAGTTCTCAAAATAGAAGATGAACCCGTCCTCTCCATTTTTTTTTTATCTCTTCGACATCATCAAATTATTTCCTCATGACTGCTCGATATAAAACTGAACATATATAAAGCAATCAACAGAAAGTACGGTACATATTCACACACCCTTGACTCTCTGTTGATGTGAAACGTGAAAGATGAGAATTATTTTTTAGACAAGATCGGGGTAGCTCAGTGAGTAAGGCACTGAGATCGAAAGCTCAAGGTCTTGGGTTCGAGTTCGGTTGTGGCAGATAATTATTTATTGTGTTACATTGTAACATAAGTGCAAGGACCTTAAGAATGTTCCGAAATAAAACCATTTTCACAAATATTTACAAAATATGATAATATAATTAATTGTGGATGCATATTTATATAAATAATTTAAGAACAATAAAAAGAAAATTCTTGATGATGGGGCAGAACCCCAAAACTTTGAGTATGTCACCAAAATATAAAAAAATAAAATAAAATTATTCACACTAGGAAGAAACAGCAACTTCTACAGACTCGAAAGAAACTATACATATCCATCCGATATAGAATAATTTATCAAAACTTTTAATAAGAAATAACAATATCCAATTATATTTTGTGAATTAAAGCCATTTATAACATACATCGTCTTCAAAATTTGAGGAAAAGACTTAGAGAACCTCCAGCCCAAAACAGTATCCAAAATCATACTTACGTCCCTGATGAAGCCAGAGGATAATTAAACATAATTCAAAAATTATCTGATTAATGATTTATCTCTGATTTTAAAACACTCAGCAAACATCATCTTTGCAGTAAACTGTGTGAGAAAAAGATAACTAAACAACTATGAGCTGAGTCAAAAGTAAATAAAGAATAAAAACTACTCTCTTGATATTTCATTTTATCATCAGAAAATTATAATAGAAAACATTGTTGAAATACTTGAATCTTAATTAAAAGACGAATAGTCATCATACTTGAGAGGCTTAATAACAAGATTGCATTCACATTCAATTACTTAAAAGTAACAAATCTCATTAGCACATTAGACATATCTTAGTTTTTAACATAATTTAAAACTACAAATGTTTTTAACTTCTTGAGATACCAGGCAATCCCTTATCATTACAAGCCAGATTTCCTTATATAACTGTAACAAGGTGTAATTTGAACTAATAATTACTGCCAACATAAAATTATTATACCTATCTGCTTCTGCTTTGCTTGGGTTCTTAAAACCTCTGTGCTAATTTCCTCATTCATCATACCAGCAATATTTACAACATTTTTTGCTGCAGCTTTACAATCCTGAGCATTTAAACAAGGGCCCACAAAGTGATGCCAATGAGGTTCAAGAGGATTATCCTTCATATCCAACCATCGAAGATTTTTAAGATTGGCAAAACTTAATGGCAAGGTTTCAATCTTGTTTTTATACAGGTCTAAATGTTTCAAATTAACAAGGCAACCAAAATTTTTAGGAAGTTCTCGTAGTTCATTTCTTGCAAGATCGAGCTTGACCAAATGTGTAAGAGATATAGAAAATGATTTCTGAAAGCAAAGAATGTATGAGTAGAAAGTGGAAAAGCAAATTGTCAAATATCTTAAACTTTTACCTTCTGAGTTGTAATTAACACTAATATATAAACTTACACTTAGTGTAGTTAATTTGTTGTTCGATAAATCCAAGCTAGTTACTTTTGGAAAAGCTGCCTGTAATAAAACATGAAAATAAATATCACAATAAATGGAATAAGGAATATGTTAATTAAAAAGTAAAATTTTGTCCTTTACAATCTCTTTAACGGGGACTTCTTGTAAATCGTTAACACTAAGATCTAGAGTATCGTCCGAAATATAATCTTTCAAATTCAACTTTCTAGCCATCCTTAACGCCCCACTTACACGTAAACACTACTCACCGGCTATCATAGTTGAGTGTTTTTCAGTTAACATCGATGGTAAGAAATGCATATCGATTATTTCGACAATGTTGTACAAAACTTTCACTTCTATTGCAGGTTTTATTTTAATTAATAATAAAATAAACATTTAACTCAGGTTATGTTATTCAAGTAGATGCATTTATTCATATAGGCTCATTGAAAACTGAAAATTAACAACTTCTCAAAAATTAATAACCTTTCAAAAATTGTTTACTTCTCTAGTTTTATTGGAAAATCGATCTAAAAGTAGAGCTGAAACTGGGAAGGAGGGGGTGGGTAAAGGAATACTTCTCCAGGCTGTATTTATTGACCTTAATTCGTTCAATAAAATGAATTAATGCTGTAAGATATTTATTTCGAAATATATAACCTAAAATTTTGTTGACTTCTATTGAGGAGAGGAGAGTGAGTGGCAGGGGTGCCCAGAAGAGAGTTTCATGGCTGAAGTTGCGCCATAAAAATTTTTTGATGAAATTGGGCCAATTTCAACGGAGTTATGAATTTTCGGACTAAGGGACAAGAGAAAAACATGGAACAGACCACAGCAAGTGTAGTTGTATATGATCTACTATTTTTCTAATTCTACCTTCGCTTGCTCTGTTTTTAAGTAAAGGTGAACAATAAAATGTCTTTGGAAGAGGAGGAGGGTAGGCTCTTGCGGCATCGACCTTGGGGGAAGGGGGGTGGGCACCACTGGTGAGTGGCAAAATTAAGATGTTTTCACCCTCATTTGGAAGAAAAAAATATACTAGCTCCGGTCAAGTGTCAGTCAAAATAAATGGTACAAGCAGTGCAGAACTATTAATTTATAATAGATATTTATGCTCAATTAAGAGGCCTTTCTCGGGATTGCAAGCAAGATATGAACCGTGCCATATCCAAGGATTGCAATGCTCCAACGTATTTCCGGTGCGCTCTTCCTTTCTCAAGAAAAAATAACCTTTAGTCCATGTTAATACATATTCTTCCAATTTTTTTTCAAACTTTCTCCTTAGCATATAATTATGCTCGCCGCAAATAAATAATTAAAACCATCATACAGAGATTCAGGGGTGCCCATCCCTCCTAAGGCTGATGGCACATAAACCTTCCCCCACCCCTCCTAAGATATTTTATTCCTCTCTTCTTAAAAACAGTACAAACAAAAGTAGAATTTGACTATTCCTAGGTTATATACCATTACACATTCTGTGGTTTGGTCCATGATTTCACTTGTCTTTTGATTTGAAACATTTCATTTTGAAAATTCATAACCCCTTCCGATTCTGCCCCTCTCAAAAAGTCCCCTCCCCCCTCATTAATTTTTATGTTGCAACTTGCGCCATAAAATCCTATTCTGGGCACCCCTGCACATATTAATATATAAGCAACACAATGAAAAGAACACAAATATAATTTATGTATTCATATAAAAGAAAGATATGATTCCGTCACTGGGCTATTGAGCTATTGACTACTGTATCTCAAATATAAAACTGAAATTTTGAATGGCAATCCGCGTTATACCGTAGATGTCAAATTGTAAATGAAAATAAAAATTATTTTTGGGAAAATTATAGGCAATTGCTGGAACATTACATAAACTTGAATTTCTACAAAATAAAAGGAAAATCATCTACAGCTTTTTAAACTTACATTCCTATTTTATTTGAATGGTAGCTTCCTTTATAATATAGATGTGTAATGAGTCTGGGTTCCCCATCACCTTTACTGATACATCTAATAATTGTTGTTACAACAAAACATAAACACAATTTCAATAAGGCCTTAAAATGTAACACAGTTACAGTAAAAGGCGTCCAGCACAAAACTAAAATTGTAAAATAAATTGTTCATTTGTATCATATTATTGTGGTTAAGAAAAACAGCCTGGGTTTGAAAAAGTTTATCTTTTTTAAGTGATTAAAAAAAGCATTTCTGAATTATTTTGTAGTTTTTATTTAAATTTTATTATATTGTCGAGTCTGTAAAAGAACATTACATCGTTATTCTCTATTTAAACAGTTGTTAAATTATAAAACTAAAAAAATTAAATAGTTTTAAGTAAAACAAGTTACTATTGTTATTTCCTTACAGTTATCCTTATCATAAACTTAAAACCTTTAATGGGGTAATTAAAAGTAATGACTGAATTAAATTATTTGCGAGCGAAGATTCGAATAACAGTTAGTAAATGATACAAAAATATTAATTCGTTTTATAGATGTAGGAAACTGCTTTGTATTTCAAAAATCAATAAGTTAACTATTAATACATTTTAGCAGGTGTATTTTTATTCGTATATAGTTGTTGATATGGAGAATTTTTTTAAATATTTTATAAGCTAATTATAATATAGCAAAATGATATGTTAATTTATATATTACATCACAATATACTTAAAACTATATACATATTTAATTCACGGCCAATAATATTTCAATTCATATAGACGCTTGGCTTGTTAAAAAATACACTTATAAGTTTAATTCAATTTATAAGATTAAATTATGATGAAATCACAGACGCATGAGGATGCAGTCAGAATCTGTTTTAATATTTTAGTAGGAATCTCTAAAAAAACGTTAAAAATAAATATTTTACTGATCAAATTAGTGAAATATAGTGTTTCAAAACTCGATTTTTGTGGTCATAATCCTCTGGATGGAACCCTTGGTTATAATTCTTTTTCATAGGATATGTTTTGCAGTTTTATTATTAAACATAGTAAATGGTGAAAAAAAAAGAAATTGTATTGGGAAACGTAAAAATAAAAATTATACATGAAGAGAAGGATGGTTGGGGTGATCAGTCAAAATAAAAATGGGAAAAATAAATAATAATATTTATTTTAACTTTATAATTTTATTTATATTTTAAATATTATTATTTATTTTTGCCATTTTTATTTTGACTGATCACCCCAACCATCCTTCTCTTCATTATTCACTATACTCAACCATCAACGCACAATTAAAAAATGTACACATTCGTTGACAACGTGAAATGGAAGTTGGCTTAGACTTTCATCAAATTAATTTTTACTTCTAACATTGAAAATTAATATTTTAGTTTTAATAGACACTCATAGTATAATCTAGGCATTTAAAAATATTATACTGCCACCATCTTTGAAAATGCATGAAATGTACTTGATTCTACGGATTTTTCATAGTTCACTTAGTAATGTGGTGAGAATATAGGTGCAATTGAATTTATTTAAAATCAGGACTTTCATTAAATCCAATTTCATTAAGAATATTTAGTTGCCACCATCTGGGACAATAAATGTGCTATGCTTGTATCTACAAAAACTCGTTGAAAATGCTTAAATATGATTTAATGTGATACATTTTATCACCCATTTAAAATTTTAATTTCACCAGTCTATTAAGCTATAAACAAAATTGATTAATTAATCTGGATTTTAATTAATGCTATGTTATTCTTTGAACTGAGAAAAAAAATCTTGATAGGAATCGGCTGATACAGATATTTTCCATGTAGATAATTTTATAAATTTATTTAAATTCTTAGTTAGAAAAATATTTTTATATTATTTTTTAGATTATAGATAACTAAGAAATATGCTGATTTTGACAGACGCGAAAATGTAAGCTGTAAAGGGCCTCTTACACGGTCAATATTATTGAAGCAATAAAATTGAAGGCAATATATCGAAGAGTACCACACATGGGTCAATTATATTGAGTCAATATCATATCAGTTATCTTGCTTCCACTAAAGAAGGAGGTTTCCGAAGAGGTATCAGCATTAAAAAAAAAAGTGTTCGTTGTAATGCTTATTTTGTTAATAAACCAAGACATAACATTTTTTGTATCAAATTGGTTCTGTTGTTGTTTCCTAATTATTTAATGTATAAAAGTTTAGGAATAAAAAAAAAGTTACTTAATTTTGTATAAAAACCAAATTGAACAAAAAAGTATTCCCCTCCTACCCAAACATATTGCCATTACCTCTTTTAAAAATGATTAATGCATTTTGATGGATTTATTTTATAATCCACGGATCATTGTAAAACTTAGTTTAGCAGTGAAATAAGGGGAAAAAAGAGTGAATAGCGGAGTTACTTATTTAATAAGAACGTATTTCTCATACTGGAAAACGAAAATTACTTAATCAATTTTACACATTTTTACAATTTTTCCCAAAAATGTCAGTAACGATTTTGATTAAACTTGTCATATCAATGAACAATAAAATAGTTTTTAATATCATGCAGGTCTCATCCTCATTGATAGAATCGGACAGGGTTTAAGTAAATATTGAATTTTCTAAATAGTTTTCTCAAAAGTAACTTTAAAATGAAAGGATGAAAAATGGTCAGGTGCTTTTAAAAAAATTAAGTTTATTGAGTTTGCTGATATTTTGACCCAAACATGTGGATCAAAATGTCAGCAAACTCAGTAAACTTAATTTTTTAACTACACATCCTGACCATTTTTCATCCTTACTATTTCAACTACGGGGTTGAGCTATGGGGCTCCACCAAGCCTTCAAATTCCTCTCGCATACAGTCCTTGCAATCCGAAATCCTTCTTAAATCCTCAATGCTCCTTACTTTGTTACAAATAAAATTATCCATAATGACCTTAATGTTCCTTATGTATCAGATTTGGCCCAATCCAGATATCTGTCCTTCCATAATAAACTTCATAACCATCCCAACCCTCTTGTCTCTAACCTTGCTTCCTATTCGATTCCTGATAACCCTCCGAGGCGTCTGAAAAGAAGATGGCCACGTGATCTTCTAATATAGACATATTATTAGAGTGCTACCAATGGGTAGTTTCTCAACATGTGTTCCATGTCTTTATACCAATGTGCAAATTTACTAGATGTATTTTTTTGTATACAGTTGTAAATATCATTTAAAATAAATAAAAAAAAAAAAAATAAAAAAACTATTTCAACTGCCAACTATAAACTCATTTCCAACTTTAATTTTTTTTTGGAACAATTAGAAGTTTTTCCCTGTTACAAGTAATCATAAATGATTAATTAAAAACCATGAAAGAATTTGATAATCAGTAATAACATAAAAAAATGAGAAACATTTGTTGAGGTAGAAAACAACTTTCTAGAAATAACTATTGAAATATAGATGAATCACATTT